CTACAATGGAAACATAACCTGAATTTGTACTGGTCGGAATTTGCCGCAGTCAATCCACTAACCTCTGTTTTTTTTTTTTGTTTTGTTTTGTTTGGTCATTTGTTCCAGTTTTTACAACTGAATATCATTGTTTGAAGATAGTGGAGCTGAAATAATTTGGTCCTCGAGTGTTCAGTGTAAGGCAGCGAAGCTGAAATAATTTGGTACTTGAGAGCTCAATGTTTGGTGTCCGTGTAACTACTGTAACCACTAACAACGATTGAAAGTGCACCAGCGGTTCTGTTTATACTTCACCACTTGCGAAGGCATTACGATACATGAGTTAATAGCTGTATTAAATTAGCTAGCATTGACACCGTTGTGTTGGCGATTGTGGTTGCGCTAGTTTGGTGCATTGTACACTATAGTCTAAAATTTCATCTTCTTTGTTCAGCGTGAAATGATCTCAAAGTTTGGACATTCTCCTTCTTATGGACGCTTTACATCCGGAGTGGTCCGTGCGACTCTTAATCGTCCATGTGGAACAATGATCCGTGCTAAAATTCTAGGCAGAGATTTTTCTTTGGTCTTTTCTGTAATCAAATCGTTGGAGTTATTATTGCAGCAATAAAGAAAACATAAAAGTCTAAAATAATAAATCACCACTATATTGACACTAGCATGTGACAGGTATTATAAATTAGCATGCATTGTATTGTATTGTATTGTATTGTATTGTATTAGCCGTAGCTTCCCATGTTATTTTTTGACAAAACAAGACCAGATTTGGTGAAGTGTCAATCAGGTAGCTGCTTTTACCATTCACCCATTTCGCTCTCCGGCTGATTAAATTTTCTCCCAAAATAGCGCCGCTCGTAAATTGATGAATTAGTCCGTTTAATTCTGATTTCACAAATGCAAAATTAATCAGAGTGTCGGCTTTCGACTTGCAAAGACATTTTTTTTTTTACTTGATTTCCACTTTAATGCGAGGCTTCGGGTACATTTTTTTTTTCTTGACACCCCTTGTTGAAATGATTCTTTCTTTTGGAATAAGGGGAACACAAGGCATTCCTCTAATGCTTGCTGAGTTTGTGAGCGATAATAGCCTGTTTGAATGCCTTGCGTCACATATGGAAGCTGCATTGTGGAAGCCCGAGGCGAGCAGGTGCACCACCGGAGGATTCTTTCTCATGCATAATGCACACGCATGTTTTGTGTACATGTGGTTCTCATTCTTGTCTGAGCTCGGCACAATCCATGGCTGAGGATTTTTTTTTTTTTTTTGGTAACATTACAATTAGATTGCCCTTTAGTACCAGTGTTTTCAGTCGCGGCACTTTTGTCCCGATTCATACATTCTGATTCTAATCGGTCCTGCCTAAAGCGATTTCAAAATGCAAATTTGGGTCCAAAATTGCAGAATGTATAGGCAGCTGTCCATATTCCTACTCTTTAACAAACCGTGTGCACTGCGGTCTTTCTTCGGTGCTCTGCATTCAGCATACATCAGCAAGTTCACTCACAGGGCTCCTGAAGCATAATTTACATGTTTTTGTGTGACATCGCCAAAGAACTGTAAAAACCACAGAACCTGGAATAGAGCTTAGTGCTGCATAGGAAATGCTCCGACTGCACAGTAAATTAATTTAATTGCATGACGTATACAGCAATGTAAATAGCTTGAGTCTAAAAGCATAACAGGTAACGACTCACGTGAAACTGATCCAAAACACGTGTCAACAAATAGCACGTTTTCACTCTCTATTACTCCCCATGGGTGTTTCTGGCAACCGCAAAGGTTGAGCATTTTTACTTTATTGTGGTTCATTTTGTGAGGCCAATTTCTCTTGATACTCACATGATGGTTCGGGACGTCCAAATGAAATCAAACTTGAAAAGTTCGTTGAGTTTGTGCTAGAACACACCATTCGCTTTTCATTACATCCCATGGGAAGATTTGTTTGGAATTTTGAACAACTTGCAAGTCAACCGGTGACAAGGAACATAATCTGGAGGTTTCGCCGTTGTTGTATACTGTAATGCAAAAGACAACGTGGCTGTCGTTTGTCGAGCAAAGGATACGTGAGGCCTTAATGCACCTTTCAAAGGCATTTGACGAAATGTCAATTCCACATTTCGACCGCTCCTTGCCTCCCGCACGCCTGCATTAATAAATAAATACGGCAGTGTTTGCAGGCAGGGCACTGTCACGACAGATTGCCCTGAGAGAAGATATCACGAAGCAAATTTTGCTGCATGCGGTGAAACGCGTATCCAATTTAGCGAAAATATTAGTCTCAAGAGAGAAGGAAATGCTAACAGAAGGAAGGTAAAGAGATTGTTGTGTAAGAGGTGGAGCTTTGCTCCTCCTCCCATTTACCCCTGGGAAATGCAGACGAATAATGAGTTTGCTCAGGGAGGGGCTGTGGTTGGTGTAATTGTTTTTATTTTGTGCAGTCGACCACATTTTTTTTTCCCCCATCCACTCTGTTGCTAATGCAAGTGACAAAATTTGATCCTAACTAAATAGCAGGAAAGCAATAAAAATGACAGGCGTGGACTGCACAACATTTATGGGCTTAATCAGTCCGAGAATTTAACCGCCGCATTTGCATCTATCACTTGGTGTTTGTGGATTCTCCGGTATAATGCAAGCACACTTTAATACAAATCAGACTTCAGATCAAGATCTTACAAATGGAAATGGTGAAAAGGGCCGAAAGCTGGATGCGCGCATACTGATAATCAGGCCAAAGGATGTCATTTAGTTTCATCTCATCATGTGCGGAGTTTCTCACATATTACAAATGAGATAAGATGTTCAAAATGGTCTGTGTGTCGCAGGTTGAGTTTGCAGTAAATCTAAGCTATCAAGGCCACATTACATACCATTTCTCCAGTACAGACATAAGGATGACAGCATCACTTCTCCTTTTGGCCCCAAAGGAAAAAAAAAAAATGAAACAAATGCCGAGTAGGCATTTTAACAGAGAGTCAGGAAATCCAAGGTGTTGAATTTACTTTCGAGCGACCATCTTAAAATAATGATGATAGATGTGGAAGAGTGTGGCTTGGAGTTGCTTTCAAGAGGATCGCGATTTTGGATTTGTCAGCCTCAGTAAAGAATAAGCACTCGACAACATCCAAACATTGTTCATTGCTCAAACAGGCTGTTTTATACGCTGTTTTTTTTTTTTTTGTGAATACTTCTCAACCAAATAGAAACCTTATCCGCGCTGTCTGCGCCATTGCATTGCAGGTGTGGCTTTACCTTCACAGGCTGGAGAGTCAAAGCACTGTTGTGCAGATGAAAGTCTGTTTAGGGTTTGAAGCTGCCCTTTTCATGCGGGTCGGATCCCAATGACTGCATCTGTGTTTAGAGCGGGAGCAGCGTGGACAGACAATAGCTCAGTCAGAGAGAATGCAGGAGAGGGCAGAGATAAAGGGAGTCCAGTCGTCATTGTTTTACTGATGAGCTCCCCGAAAGATCACAATAACAAAATACCGGCCCTGGTTGCTCAGAAACGGCCAGGATAAATCGTCACCTTTGCATCTGGGCTGCGCTTTGACATCCTCCCATAACTTCAAAACCTTTAGAACAACAACTTTCAGAAAAATGCAGAAAATCAGATTTGGGGGAAGGGGGTGAGGTTGTCAGTGCCTGCAGCCACGAGTCATATGAGCGAACATTATGACGATGGCGCTTCAAGAAAACCTCACTGGCAGAGGAAAAACAGACCATCCTCTTATGTCCCGGATTAACGGGCTCAAGGAATCTCAAGTCATCCCTTTGTATGGCTTACTTTGAACAAAACAAATGTCGCCATAGTTGTCAGATGACAACCATGCTCCATGACCATTTTGACGTTTCTTAAAAGTAGGCCAATGACGATGATTAGACAGCTTCGGCAGCAGACCTGTATAGTATCTTTATTCCAGATTTTCAAATGATTAAGCACACTTGCAAGATATTTGAGGTACATTCACGAATACACCCCCCAAAATAGGAGCGACCATAAAAAAGACAAATACAAAAGCGGCTTTTGAAGGGGTCCAAAGGACAAATTCACATCAATCTGAGCCAGACGAAAACATTTTAGGTTTTACCTGTTTATCCGTGCCAGTAATAAATAAAATAGTACCGTATTTTCCTCACTATAAGGCGCATCGGAGTATAAGGCGCACTTTAAGCGAATGGCCTCGTTTAAAACGGTTTTCACATATAGGGCGCACCGCATTATAAGGTGCATAGAGTAGAAGCTACAATAGTGGCTAAGGTTGTGTTATGCATCCACTAGATGGCGCTACGCTGAAGGGAATACAATACAATACAGCTTGATTTATATCGCGCTTTCACAACTGCTACCGCTGTAACAACGCTCTTTTCAGAATATTTTAAATACTACGTCCAAGAAATCTGAATATTGATCCATATATAAGGCGCATCTGATTGTAAGGCGCACTTTCAGCTTTTGAGAAAATTGAATGCTTTTAGGTGTGCCTAAAATGCGGAAAAATACGGTCAGATGACAACCTCAATAGCCAAAGAGCAAGGAATTGGAATAATGACAAATTAAATACACCAGTATATCTTTAACATGCAGAAAACTTGTTAATATGCATTGCGTCTTTGTACGAGTGTATTCAACATTGAGTAATAGTGATTGCACGTGTGAAAAATGTAAACATTATTGCACAGTGAGAGCCGAACAGAATAAAAGATGATTCATTCTTGTGGAGAAAGAGCTCCTCTAACCTCTCTTAGAGGAAGGTTAAACTCCTTGACGCCAATGGTAGACTGTTCATATAGCCCATAACTCACTTAGTGAAGGACTGTTTGTTTGCTAACAATGAAGTCAGCCACAGTAGACTTTTGTACACACTGCATTTCATGTGGGAGCGGCGAGCTGAAATTCACAATTTATCTTGGGACAGTTGTCATCACCGTTGTTTTTTTTTTTTTTTTTTATGACTGTACTCCAGTGCTCACAGGCCCGCTTTTCTGTTCCCCATCGCAGAGGAACTGGTAGCGTACCAGCGGGAGTTCCATGCCTTGAAAGAGCGCCTACGTGTGGCCGAGCACCGGACGCTGCAACGCTCGTCGGAGCTCAACAACATCCTCGAGCAGTTTCGGCGCGCCATTGCCGAAACCAACAACAGCAAAGATGCACTCACCACTTTTTCAGGTAACAGATTATTTGGAACGTCCCAACAAAAGGAAATCAGGTGTTCTCGTGATTGATATTTAAAAGTGAAAAAAATTGGGGATCATTTACTGTTGATATGAACCACAAGGTTCTCCAGTAACAGTGGCCCAGGGACCTAAATGCACCTACACCTTTCATCACTGAAATGCTATCACAATAGTGACGAAATTGCATCACAGAAGATAGCTTGAAGCACTTTAGTCACGTTTCACTTTGTTTACCACAGGTTTATACTCTCGGGGCGAAACGTGAGTTTAGCTCGAGCAAAATATCTGTCTTGGTGCACACTAAACGGTAGCATCTTCTTGATGCACGCTAAACAATCGCATCTGGCCATTGTTGTCGCTCTCTAAACTGAATTTGATTGGGCCCACCAAATGTCACTCATTTTTGTCATTTCACAATTATGATTATTATTGTGGCTGACATTGTGTTGTTTAGGGGGAAAATATATATATATATATATATATATATATATATATATATACTAGAAATAAACACCACTAAAACTCCCATCCGCCATAATAATTTTTAACAGCTCGCTGATAAGTTAGTTTAAGTGTACGTTTGGAAAGTTGCTGTTGGCACGTGGTTTAGTTATACGATGATCCTGTTGTCTGAGGAGTTTTAAGGGTGACTTGGTCCAGATAAAAGTGTCTGAAAAGGATCAGCTGTGAATATGTTAAATATTAAATGTGCTCAATATTTATGAGCAAAAAAATGTAAACGTGTGGGGTAGTTTTAAATTGCTTGCGTTCAGACAAATACTTCTCTGGGTTTTTTTTTTTTTTTTTTTTTTTTTAACCCGGCAAACAGTTTCGGCGACTCGGCCTTTGTCAGGATTTTCACAGCGCTTCCTGGTGTGATGCATCAAGAAACCCGCGCAATTGGCAAAGGATAGTGGCATTCCACACATAATTATTAACAATTGGGGGTGTGATCCACTTGATTACAGCTCACACTTGAGTAACGTCCTGTATTTCCTGTCCTCATGCAATTAGCTGATACCCAGAGACTTTTGAAGGAGCTGGCCAACAGGAAACCTCTCCACGTGCCAAACATCTACCACCATCTGCCTCACCTACTCAACAATGAGGACAGCTTGCACCCCGCCGTACAAGTCGGCCTCGGACGTACCGGAGGTGAGGACTCGCCGTCGCTGCCGAACGCATTTTATGAGTCCTGTCTCGACATGCGTTCAGTGATGAGTTTACTGTAAATATCCTCTGGACTCAACCTCATATTACACACTTACACACTGTAGAGAACTATAGTCTGTGTACAGAGTACATTGTGAGTCTTTGTTCACAAGCTTATGCAGCATATTTCCTTGCTTTTGATAGCGTAGCCAATGTGCTCCCTCTACCGCTCCCCCGCCTGCAGTGTTGTAGTTTACTCGATCCTGTTTTCACGACACTACAAAGTGAGTGAAGCCCTTTCATGCATAATATAAGTGACAACTCCCCGTGCCGTTGGTTAAGTAGAGCAGGCGGCAACACAGAAAGCGTCATCGTTCAACTTCCACCTTGTTTTCTTGAATGGTCCTGCTTTTGAACTGTTTGGCACATCAAGTCCACACTTAAGAGCACTAAAACACAAAAGGAACACAAACATTTTTTTTTTTAAAGGCACATGTCGCAACACCGGTCAAACGGGCTGAACTTTGCATCGCAGACCTCCCTGTGTATATATGTACACTTGCATGCACGACAATGTTCTGACCTGGTGACCTCAACCCGGAGGACCTTTTAGTTACAGTACACTGTAGTACTACATCAACAATCTTGATGTCCTCTCGCCCTCAAAATTGAATTGGTTCTCACTCCGCTGGATGTTTTATGGTAGGTAGTATTTGTGAGAAATATGTCTGGGTGGGATTACTTCTGAACCTGACTGTAAAGTCAAACAGAATGAATATTTCCCATTAGAAATCATGGGAATTGAATTCATCCATTCCAAGCCATCAAAAAACCTTCGTTAACTGTTCAGGCAACATTTTTAAACACAGGTATATCAAAACCCTGTTAGCAGTAAAACTTTACGGCTACGTTTAGTGATGTGGCAACAAACGCTGAGAGATTACTGTTTTTGTTTTTGCAGTGAGTTACATCACTTTTGGATGAAATGAAACTCATTCTTCAGTGTATATTCCCTTCTTTTTATCATCGATATGTAGACGTGCCCTGATTTGGGAACTGTCGCTTGGCCAGTATTTTATTATTATTATTATTATTATTTTTTTGCTTTGACTTTGCGACAGTCAATTCAACTCACTTCAAAGGCAGAAGTTCAACAGATCGTGAACAATTCTTTGACAAAGAGACTTCAGGCTCTTTGGTGCCACTCCCATTTGAAAACTTTAAACTGAACGTAAAACAAAGAATTGCGGTGTATTAAAAACGAAGCCCACCTTTTGCTTTGGAATGTCTTCTTGCCTAAAACTCATTCACTCCCAAAGACATATTTAGATGTCTTTTCAGACGCCACACATTTAATCCCAGCTGCTCATTTTAGATTTACTGTACTTGAAAAGGGTCTGAAAGGGTCTGAAAATGACTGGTATTGAATCAGTTTTAAAGGGGAATTCAGTAAAGGGGATGTCTTAAAAACTTGAGTGAAAACCTACGCAAGTAAATAACTCCCTGTACTTTTCTACAGTCAATATTTTTCTACCCTAAATAAGGTTTTTCAAATTTTCAAAATAACTGAAACATTCATTTGGTACAGGGTCAGCTGCATCGCTTATGAAGTTAACTGAAAATTTCAATATTTCCCTTAACTTAAATTGATCTCTTATCGGACATCAAAATCCTTTTTTGGTTGGGGGGGGGGGGGACTAACGATATTCGTCGAAATGCTGAACATCAGCGCCAACAATTGGCCTGGCCTTGGTTTATCCCTAGTCTGATCATCACTGTTTTTTTTTTGTTTTGTTTTTGTTTTTTGGGTAGCCAGTTTGAAGATGTCTTAGTTGAACTCAGTTTTATTTAAGGTTCTATAATTATCTCATTTTCCCCCTCTGTCTTCACTGGCACCCTTCTGCGGTTGACACTGTGAGCGACATTCACTGAATATAGACGTGTGTCAAAATGCAGCGACACAAACGCATACAAGCGGCTGAAAATAGCTTTTGTTTACTGCCATCCAAATGTAGTTTAAAGATTCACTCCTCATTCGCTTCTCAACACATTTCTCCTTGTTTGACACGTTATTTGTACCACAAATATGACTGTATAAGAAGGCGAAACGTCTGATAGGTTTATTTCGTATCGAACGGAAAGGCTTCCCTGGATGCAGCCCAACAAAACTACTCAACGATTTGATTAACAGCCAGTTTGAATGGCCGGCGTGAGGAGCAATCAGCCAGGGATGCAGGCTGCAGGTTGGGAGCTGCATTGGGGTGAGGGTAGTGGGGGTTGGGGGGTCTGCAGACATTGCACTGGCCTGCATTATCGCTCATTCACTGTCTCCCACCGTTCCGCATGATGTCAGACTCTTTTCCTGCCTCCCACGCTCTCCTTTCATCTTCGACCTACTTTTTTTTTTTTTTTTTTTTTTAAATGCTGGTGGGCATCGTCATACAACGTGGTGTTCGGTATGAGAAACACAAAGCGAAACTGGGACAGATTCTCCACGCCGCGCAGATTGCCCGCCTCCTTTTTTTCCCTCAAGCCAGCAGCGTGCAGTGTGCACCTCAAGTTTGTTTCTGTACCCTTCGCGAGGCCCCTCGTCGCTCTCTCCAGTGGGCATGATAACACACCTACTTTAGCCAAGTGTTGCTTCGCTATGACAACATTACAGGTTTTGTGCAAGAGTACTTTGTGGCTGGTTTGTGGATAGTTTAGTGCAGTTTCATGTTGAAATAGTGTCGAAAGAACGAAGCGTGAAAATGAAGATGAACGCATGGGTCAAGACAGCAAGTGGTGGTAAATTCCCGAGCAAACGGAGATGCTGTTGGAATAAATGTGATTCTGTTATCCCATATTTACTCTCTGTGTAACTTTAAAACCTGTTTCAGAGTGATACCTCGCAAATACCTCATGTACAATGGGGTAGGTTGATAATGGTAGACTTGTCGGACCGGGAGAGCTCAGGCTGCTCCTGTTCTAGCTTTTAAGACAATATCTTGTTGTTAAGTGAACGGCTTCTGGTCAAATTAACTGTTGCTTGTGAGAAGATAACATCAAACCCAGGACACCATGAGAGGGACATCGCAAGCTGTGTTCGTGAACCATTGACATCCAGTAGGAGCCGTTTGACGACATCTCAGGAATGAACTGTGTTCTCATTGAAACTCTCCTTTACTGAAACTGTTGTGGAATGTGAAAATACTCCCCACTCCCGTTAGTAGATTGTGTATCAGGGACATCCTTCCAATAAATGCAAGGAGACAAACGCGCACTCTTCAGAGTTGCCCCGGAACCTGTAACGGTTTACATTGCAGAGCCAGCTGGAGAGCTGCTTTGAGATTGTGAACCGAGACATGTTTTAGCGTGCTCTCTCTTGCAAGAAAGACAACCATGCTTGCCTCCTGAGTCTTCCTGTTCCTGATGTGTTCTTAGCATCTGATTACCAGCATAAACCTAACAGATGCTGGTACTGAAAAATTCAGTGTGTGAGTGCACAAGCAAAGTATATAAACTGAAACCACAACATTAAAAAAAAAAAAGACGTTTTTCACATCGAATGTGTTTCATAAGCCTCACATCATACGAGAAAATAAGAAAATGACAACCTTACAAAGCGGAGCAGCATAAAGTAACCGCAGGCTGCTTCGAAGGCACATCAGGTTTTCAGCATGATGAGGGTGTGCGCTTCAGTAGAGCACATCTGAATACCCGTCCAAACGTACCAATCCGACTGCAGATTTGAGTTAGAAAACAAAAACACTTACTACAACAGGGGGCGCATTGAAAAATTCATGAACAGTAAAATTGACTTCAGCACGTTCAAGAGAAGCTGAGAATGTGATGCTCATAGGATCAAAAAAAAATGCAAATAAGCACCATCACTAGTTGAGCTGCAGAGGATCAGGCTGGGGAAAGAAGTTGCAGTTTATAGTCTGCAGACTATAAACTATAAAAGGTATTTGCTGTCAAACTACTGTGCACTTGTGCGCTCTTTAGGAAAGGGGGAATATACATTGAGAAATAATCGATGTTAAGTTCAGTTTGATCGAGGGCTCCAACGATCAATCGGGTAACTTGAATTTACAAAAATAGCGTGATGCAAAACAATCGACAACTATGTTTTTAAATTAGCAATCTTTTATAGCCAGTGTTTTTATCTTAAAATAATCAAATTCTTGGATTTCAGACTCTCAACAGTAAGTATTCAAATCTCAGATTTCTGTAGCCTTTTAGGGAAAACAGACTGGTTATCTTTTGTGTTTCATCAAAATAAGACATTTGCAACGTTAACTTGCTTCCTTGAATTTTCTATTTTTGGTCCGATGTGTTATTCAACTATGCTAATGTCTTCTATGTTGTGATTTGAGTCAGATGGAGTTTTTGGGGGATTTTCCAGTATCATAAAAGAACAAACCACATGAAAGCAGCCCGTCGCTCGCCTTGAGTGTGCCTGCTTGTACAACCCCGTTTTTCAAACTGTTCTGAGAAAACCTTATTGTATTTCATTTCTTCCTAAATCAAAGGAAAAATATGATCATCTGAGCCAATTCCTGCCCTTCAGCCAAACCCGCTCAATTCATAGCAGAAGCTCATGAATTAATTCAGCAGGTCTTTGCGTCAGTGTGACTATCAATGTTGACTTGATGCCAAGTCGCGTTCACTGCTTCTCCCTTCATTCTGCTAATTGTCGCCTTCATTTAACGGAAGCATTTTGTGATTCATCGAATCCATATCTGACTCAGATGTCACTTTTAAGGTGCATCTCCATCGCCATCTGTCTGTCTGTGTAGTGGGCTTCAGCCAATGTAATCTGTTCTACGTCTGGCTACGACCACTGGCTATTTGTATCCATTTATTAAAACACATCCGTTCCCACCCCGGTGCTCCTCTGCCCAGTTACCATGGTGATGGGAATCCCCACGGTGAAGCGGAAGGTAAAGTCGTATCTGGCGGAGACGCTGCATTCGCTGATTGACAAACTGTCTCCGGAGGAGAAACTCAACTGTGTCATTATCGTCTTCGTCGGGGAGGTGAGAGGTCACCCAGTTCCTCACATGATGGCGGAACGTTACCTGATGCTCTAAGGTTGCCCTGCTTTCTCCCCCAGACCGACCTGGAGTACGTTCAGAGTGTAGTTTCTGGCCTGCAGAAGGAGTAAGAGCACCGCGCAATCAGAATGTTAGTTGGCTCGTTCATGCTCCCTGATGTCACCCGTGTTCCAATTTTCTTCAGGTTCTCGGCGGAGCTGAATTCAGGTTTGCTGGAGGTCATTTCGCCTCCCCCCAACTTTTACCCAGACCTCACCAACCTTAAGGAGACATTTGGAGACTCCAAAGACAGAGTGAGGTAAGACCATGAATCATCGGTACCCCCTTTCTTTTTTTCTTTGCCCTAATTAGGCAAAGTGAGAATGACAAAATGGATGGCCTGAGTGGCACGGCAGGGAGATGTGAGGCGACGACTGCAGAACTGGAAGGAGTCAGTGGGAGGGAGCAAGCGGGCAAGAGCTTTTCGTCAGCTGATTAGTATTCTACAAGCATTTGTCAAAGGCAGATCAAGGTCATCAGTACAGGCGCCCCTCCGCCTCTTGCTCCCAAAGCGCTCCCTAGCTCTCACAAGCTTCTGTCGTGGATGCTTTCTTTACAGTCGGCCGTCGAGCGGCTTAATAGAAATCTGTTATGGTGCAGTTTGTATGTATTCGGATCATAAAAGACCTCAACCGCTGACCAGTTTGTGCGGAAGTGGGTGTTGCTTTGCACCACCTTGTAGGGTAATAAAAGTGCAACTTTATGTCTTATTTGACATGTCACTATTCTTTAGGTGTGCGTGTGCATGCGTGCGTGTGTGTGTGTGTGCCAGCACCAGATTGAACATTGGAGAGTGAAGTGTATTGCATAAGCCTGCTTCAATATGAGTGCAGGGGTAAACACTAATTGGGCCTCACGGACTATTCAGTATCCAGGCATGAGCAACAACAATCCCCGTGCCTCTCCACAGGTTGCCTGTAAAGCTCTTGAATTACATAATCAGAAACTAACATTGTTTTCTTTTTTTTTTGTACGTGTATATGTTGTTTAGATGGCGGACAAAGCAGAACCTAGACTACTCCTTTCTCATGATGTATGCAATCAGCAAAGGAGTTTATTATGTTCAGGTAAGCCCTTAAATGATGGTAAAGGGTGCTTTTATTTTGACTGCCGCTCTCAATTCAAACTGAGGCAGCCACAAAGCAAATGCATATCGTTGCAATTCATCAGTGTCTGTTTCCTCTTGTTAAAACCTCAGTTTAATCCCTCTTGGATTTCTGCCACACTCATCTGTCTTTTTGGTGCTCTAATTTTTTTAAAATGTGTCACCAGTACAGCGCACCGGCTAAGGTCGAACACAATCTGTTCTGAGATGGGTTTTTTTCCCCCTCCATAAAAAAAAATTGATTCCATAAAAATCTGTTTCATGATCCAACTGTCACCATCCGAAACCCTTTATCAACTGTATATAACATAACAATTAAACAATCATAATTGTTAAAGTAAGATAAACCCTATTAGTAGCACTGCACAGAGAGTTGAGTTTTGTGGTCAAAATCGCAATCTCAGACAATGCGATTTTATGATCGCTAAAGTTGCAGGGTGGGGGGCTTATCCCCCAAGTTCACCAGTGAGCGGCTTGCTAATTGTGGATAGGTCACACTAACCTATTCTAAGCTGGTTGAAAAAAAAAAAAAAGTCCTGTGTCTACATCACTCTCTCACCTAAAAAAAAAAAAAAAATCCTGTGTCTACATCACTCTCTCACCCATACTGCTGAAAGTCCTTTTTTTCGCGGCTAATCAAGAACACGAGACGCTAAGCTAGTTTGCTACTCGCCACGCAGGCGGACGAGGCATCACTAAGCATGCAACGCACCAAGCAAGAAGAGAGAAACTGAGCAAGAAGAGAGAGCTTGAGACGATGGAGAAGCTATTGCTAATTGCTAACATGAAATGCAGAGTCGGGAAAGACCACAAAATAAGTGCCTAGGTGTACAGCGCGCTTTTCACAGAAGTCTGACGCGGAATTCGTTAGGGCGGAGAGCAAGAAGCTATGAACAGGTAAAATAGTATTAGCGAGACAGATGCAATAAGCTCCAGTCAACACCATTTTCTGTCATGTTTGTAACTGTTACTGTACATATTCGTGAACATTACGCTAGTCAGCCTGCTTCCTTCATGTAACTTAAAGTGCACGCCGTGTTCTCGTGTCGTGACGGAAAAGCAAAACACAAGGGCTAATCTTTTGATGCTCGCTGAACCGACATTCGTGAAGTCACGAATGTCAGAGGTTGGAATGCAGAAGTTTTTGTGTGATCGTTCTCCTGATAATTTTGTTAACTGACGGCGACCATACGTACTTGTCAATCTAACGTCTAATGCATGCGGTGTGTTATTTCCATTGTCTGCTCTCACCTGGAGGGAAGAGGTATTTCCAACCGCTTTTAGTTTGGTGTACACTAGTTCTGCCGTGTTTTCATTGCTCAATCCCAAACAACGCATCCCGTTCGTAAAACCCAACCCTCCCGCTGGTTTGTTATGGCTCACCCATGTTTGCCTCTGCTCCCTCAGTTGGAGGACGACATCGTGGCCAAGTCCAACTACTTCGCCACCATGAAGAACTTTGCCCTCCAGCTCTCGTCCGAGGACTGGATGGTCCTGGAGTTTTCTCAGCTGGGCTTCATCGGTATGATTCGTCACACACTTGACAAGTGTCAGACTCACTTTGTGTACTTGATGCTCAAGGATGGTATATTTGTTGCCACAGGTCGCATTAATGCTTTGCTCTGTTCTCTCCCACAGGGAAGATGTTCAAGGCACCAGACCTGAATCTGATCGTCGAGTTCATCTTCATGTTCTATAAGGAGAAGCCAATTGACTGGCTGCTAGACCACATTCTCTGGGTCAAAGTGTGCAATCCTGAGAAAGATGCGGTATGTTGTACAAATGTACAGTGAACAAATGTCAATTTTAACAAGAGTCTTTAAGTGACGAAATAGCGATTGAAATGTCATTTGGAGGAATTGAAATAGAATCATAAAGGGTCCGTTTTGAATTTGGAAAGAATTTTCCAACAGCAAACAGAAACGGGAAATAATTTGCTTCAGCGTTAAATTGTCGCCATCGTAAGACCTGTGCAAGTCATGTTTTAATGAACCTTCCTCACTTACTCATTTGTACACAAAAGGATTTCAGATGAATTAAAAAAAAAAAAAGCACCAATACTTTTGAATAAGATGCCTGTCTTGTGGAGACTTTTTCTCTTTAACATCACATATTCTTCTGCGGGGGCGTAAGGAAAAAAAAAAGGAGATTCTTAAATTTAGGCCAATGTATGCTCGCTGAGTTGATGTCTCATGTTTTACTGACATCCCGTGTCATAACCTTCAAATCTCTGTGCGACTTCAGAAGCAAAACATTTCCTCGTCAAGTTCCGAGTAGCACACCTTTTGCAGCGTTGCATTTTCCACTCTACGATGGCAGCGAATGCATCCTGTTCTATTGTATCGCACGCTTCTTGGCTCTAACTCGTTGACCCTTTTTGACACTTTTCCAGAAACATTGCGAGCGTCAGAAGTCCAGCCTCCGCGTGCGCTTCCGGCCATCCTTGTTTCAACACGTGGGGCTCCATTCTTCTCTCGCTGGAAAGATCCAAAAGCTGACAGTAAGTCCCCCCTGCCCACGCAGCCGGTCCCATGCCACTACCGACCAATCCTGCCCACTTCAGCGTTGCTGTCTGCTTTGACCCGCAGGACAAAGACTTCCTAAAGCCGCTTCTCCACAAGATACATGTCAACCCTCCTGCTGAGGTTTCCACCTCAATGAAGGTAATCCTCCTCCCGAGCTCTTTTTTTTTTCTTTATAATTTTGACATAGCTTTCAAAGACTGTACAAAACTCCAAAAGTATTTTCCAATATGTTTAATGACGATATATTATTTTTCAACTTTGAACTGAATATTGAAATAATTTTTCGATGATATTCTTGTTTTTGCTTTGATACTTCCCAATTTCATCTAAAAAAAGGAAGTTGAGAATGGCTGTTGAACATTGTCGCTGTTAGAAATGCATATTGGTCAAATTCCCTCGCTTTTTAACATCTAAATTTCCTGTCAGCAGATGACGCGCATGCAAACGGCAACATTTATAAGCTTTCTGAATGACTGGACAGTGACGGGAGGGCTTAATATTAACATTAAATGAAGACATCGTGGACCTTCATATCACAACATGATTCACTTAGGAAGGTGACTGTACGGTTTAACAAATATATTTCCAAATCCTGAAAGTTTTTTTTTTTTTTTTAATGATATAGATAAATCATAAAATATAACCTTTCATGATAACCTTTTATGATTAAAATCTAACATTTAAGTTTGAAACCATCCAAAACATACATTTCAAAGCTCCATGTATACCGTGCTTCATTGTACGTCGCTTCTGTCAGGTTTATCAGGGCCACACCCTGGAGAAGACATACCTCGGGGAGGATTTCTTCTGGGCCATCACGCCTTCGGCGGGAGACTACATCCTCTTTAAATTCGACAGACCCATCAGCATCGAGCGGTACGAACGGCTGCTATGAGCACTCGCTGCCCGCTCACTTCCATTTCCAACGGCTGCCATTCGCAGAGAGTCCGTTTCATCTTATATCTGCGTGTTTGCATGCCTCCCCTGGGGATCCCATCGGGCTAATGAGAGAACACTCTAAAATAAGCATTCTCAGGTCAGCCTCCACGCTCTCCGTGGAGATGAAGTAGAGGGAGGTATATGGATGTCGAATCTATGTATAGCGGCGAGTCACAGCAGGGGCGGGATAGCCTGCTAATAAATCCGTTGGCAAAGATGACACGTGGCAAATGGTCGAGAGACTAGCGCTGTCACCCGCTCAGCCAGTAAGTGACTTTCTTATCTGCTGTCGTGCGTGCTTGAGCGATGTCCCTTATAGACTCTCGCTGCGCTCTTGAGACAAGATCTTATCAGGAGGAAGACGATTCTTTTGTTCCAGCTTCCATCTGTGCTTGTTAGCAGCAACAAAAGCCACTCGTATTTAATAAGCCCATCTACCACTTTGATTGGCAAGTAGGAGAAAGTGCCAATCTTGAACCCCAAATTGTTTTCCAAGAGAATTACAGTATCAAGCTAGAAATGGAACATTTGTGAACTATACTGGTGACTTGTCAAAACGTCTTACTGTGACATGATGATGAGGTTCGAGAAAGGACTTTAAATGACATCTTAACAAGCCTTACATCTAATTATCCAAAGCAAACGTCGTAATCATAACGATTACATCCATCAAATCCATCCTTCAAATGTGTTTAAAATGCTACAGAGAGAGCAAAGCATTTTACCTCAGCGTCTTAGCTTATCGTTTATAATGTGGTCACCTTTTGATTCAAAAGTCCCGTACCTAAAGTCAGCAGACACATTGAAATCCGTGATGGTTGTCCTCACTTTATTTTTTTTTTTTGAGTCATGTGATAAGCCATGAACGGGGCAATGATTTGTCTCCATATCAAATTCAGAATGCTTTTTGTTGGCAGGTTCCTGTTTCGCAGCGGTAACCAGGAACACCTGGGCGACAAGATGCAAAACACCTCGGTGGAAATACTGCCCGTGTCCGTAAGAAAACACTCAGTCACACGCAATCATGCACATACACCCTGCGATGTGCCCGATCATCACATTACACTGTTTGGATCAGTTGCTTTGATGGCTGCAGCGTTATTGATTTGAAACTGCAATGTAAGCATGACAACACTGCCTGAGGCGATTGCCTCATCAGTGATCATAGACCCCCACGCGAGTGCCTTTTGCTCAAATGACAAATCATTAACACTTGCTTTGACTCGGCTGTTGCGTAATTGAACTTTCCCTATTGTCAGGAACCTGGACTGCAGACCAAAGAGAAGTACAAACGAACCGAAGACCGCTTCTACAGGATCGGTATGTGTGGTATGCCTGTGTGTGCAAACACACGTAAACAGCACTCTCGGGTGACACGCGCATCGATCACGCACTTGAAAAGTATCCATCCGTGCTATAAATTTCATTGGGGAAAAAAAAAGCTAATATAAATAGAAGACAACGAGAACTACAGGTATACATTGTATGTTTCAAAGAACCACATAACATAGACTTAAAGTCTCTTTAGCTTAATGCTAACACATAATGCTAAATGCAATAGACTGGCTAATGAATACCATCGCGTCACAGTGTTTTAACAATTTAAGTAACTGATGTTGGAGCACGAACCGTGGAGCAACACATGTAGAACGATGACAGTGATACATTAATAGACTGGATTCTTTATCCTCTGTGAAGAAAAGCTAATCTTACTGCAGTTTACTGAGCTTAGTCTGTACAGTTAATGAAGGTTTCATGATGCGGACATTTTGATCCCGGAACAGATATGTTCCATTTCCATTGTTCAATTAGTTTTTTTCCCCCTATCTGTAATTTTCATTTTGGAATGTTTTTTTAAAGTACATTTTGTGGTATTTTGTACTCTTCAGAATGGCCTAAAATATCCATCTGTCATTTGGGCCGCCATTTATCCTCATAGGTGAGCTGGAGACTATCCCAGCTGACTTTTGGCGTGACTGGTCAAATGATATTTGCAGGGCACATATAGACTAACAACATTTCACAACCACGTCAACCTAGCATGCATGTTTTTGGCATGTGGTCGAGAGCAAGGGGTACCAGGAGAAATCCCACAGGAGCACGGATCTGAAAATCTACATAGACATGAAGAAAAAAAAAAAACAACACCATTTTTACCAAGCGCATGTCATATGCTTTTTTTTTTTTTTATGTTGTGACAATGTCAGATAAATGGCCTAACAATATTTGATATGTAATGTTGCACTTGTACTTTGTGTTTGAACACATAGGTCAGTTTGAAAAGGGTGTGGCTGAAGGAGCTGTCGATCCTTCATTCAATCCCATCCTGGCTTTGCGACTGTCCGTTCTCAAAAACTCTGCTGTTTGGACCATCATCAGTGAAGTAAGCGAATCACACAACAGACTGTACATGGTCTGTGTCACCAATGCCGCCTTAACCATATTTGACAACCTCCTCTCTTTGTCTTATCAGATACATATAAAGAGGATTGCAGGCTGACTTTGGGGCAGGGCAGCCTTGAATCGTCAGCCCCTGGGAGATGAAAACCTTGCAGACTGCTCTTGCTGGGGCGTCAGGGAGCAGTGAAGTCATGAGCCCACTTGGAGCTCATTAATTTTTTTTCTTTTTCACCCTTTTCTTTCTGTGTCCCGTCACTCTCTTACTTACCTCGTTAGTGAGAATGTGAATACTGCTGTCAGTAGGCAAAACAGCCGTGCCGTATGACGGGATCATCCGACAATTTTGGAACACAATCGGGGAAACCTCTCAGATGAAGGAGGACAAAAATCATGACGTCAGTCACCTGGCCACTGTCCATGCTGCCAAACCACTCCCTTTCAACTCAATGCTGCCACTCTTTGGGCACGCTGGGGCATTGCACTCTTGACTAGCGCCACCAGCTGTTGCCCTTGATGGTGCCAGGAATGTATACCCGAACCCACAAATGAGGAAATACCGTTTTAAGACCAACACCAGCCCCAACTCAAAAAATACTCCCATTACCTTTAGAAAAGAAAAATCCTGCCTGTCATCAGTAACAGTTGGCTAAAATTTTTGAACAAAAGAAGAAAAAAAAAGTGATGAAAGACACAGAGTCTCTCATTGTCTGACGAGGATAGAAAAATGAATCAGACATTGCCTTGACGCTGTTTTTCCAGAAGGAAAATGCTGATAAATGAGTAGAGTTACAAGGATCTATGAAGGTGACTTAATTTATTTGAAAATAAGCCTTTTAATTTGTACAAGAAGTAAAATATATTTTTGAATCTATTGCGAGATGTGTATGCTAGTGCGCCTTTTTGTTTTTACGTATTTGTTTGTATACTGTGCATTTTCATGATTCTGATGGCTACACGGAAGCCGTCGCCCCATTTCATTACACTTGAAGCCGGTTGACATTATTATTTAAACGCAGAGAGATGACAACAGACTCCGTTTTGCGCACCAAAAGTGGAGAATTGTGCCTTATATCAGGTTCCCTAAAAGTGTATCAGCTATTTCAATCACATTTGCCAACACCTCACTGGCTGCATATAATAATATTCGCATAACTATTATTATTGTTGTTGTGAAAATAGCAGACAGTTCACTCAGTGTTTGATGTGACTACAAATAAGTGGTATCACATTACATCCTAAACTGCTTTGCTTTGCACTGTGTATTCGTTGCATCACCATTGGGACCAGTCTTTTCATTCTTCAACGACCATTAGGGCAGCGGGTGCGTATCAAACGATGGGAAATCAACAATGAAAAGCAGTGTCGTCACATTGCGGGACTAAAGTTGTAACATTGGGAAGAAAAAGTTTGAATATTTCAGAGGAAGAAGTTATATTGTGGTTTTCTTAAAGGACAAAACATCACTGTAGTTTAAAGGCAAAACAGTACAAGAGGAAAGTATTTCTTTCCGAGAATTTTTTTATTTCTCACAAATACCGGTAAATGTCCAAATTCTGTTAATGCATCAGCCCTGGGTTCTGCCATATAGTTGCAGTGGATAATCTTTTTGAATGTGTGTTCAAAACACTTTAATTCTTGTAAATTGAGGAGTTAATGGGTTGATTTTCATTTTATTTTAAAAAGTCCAAGTTTGGCACCTCATGCTCAACCTTTTTCACATTTCAAAATTGACTGAAAAGACTTAAGTTGTCCACTCACATCTCTTTCGTGTTTTGTTTTGTTTTGTTTTGTCGGAATGTCACGACTACTGATCGTTTAAGAGTGCACCTTTTTGTCCGAGGGCTTTAATGGAGCATCCTCGAGTTCATTGTAAATACGAATATAAAAAGCAATGAAGCATCTGTTTCTGTCACTCTTGCATTTCACTTTAACTACTTAATTGAGATTCACATCACTTTTTTTTTGTTGTAACTTGTCATTTTAAATGGCAGTGGTCTTTCTTCAAGGGGGGATAGAAGTGCCTTTTGGTGAAAATGGACAACTGTAACTGTGTTGTTTACACGCACATGTGTTCATACTTGACAAGTATTTTTATTTTTTGGGCTATAGCAGGCTTCTCGATTACACTCGCATATGATGTTTGAACAAAACCTCTCGTAACACTTACTGGATTGTCTTTATGCCCAGAGATTGAACGAAACTGTTTGGACGTAAAAGCAAGAAAACCCCGTGCGAATGTGTTCCTGGAGAGTAAAGACGGAAAACTATTTCAGGCTCGGAACCCCCCCCCCCCCCCCCCCCAAAACACCAATCGGTTTGTGTGCCTTCATCGTGTTATCTGTGTTGCCTGCCTCTGCTGAATTATTTTTTTTTTTACCTTTTTTCATGGACATGTTTGAAATAAATAAGGAAACAAGTTCCTTTGAATGTCATTGTGTTGCGATTTTGTTCCACGCCCCCTCGCATAACCATTTTTATAAATATACGCCAACGCCATCAAAGGATATATCTTACAAACATCTGTCTGCAGCTCGTAATCTCCATAAATCTATCATCACATCTCTTGTTCGTAAATTAGGCAGGATCTATTGTGACTGTCATTTGCCTCATGCAGCGTGGCCCATCTCGGCATAGAGTTGATCACGTGTGCCATTAATCCACGACCGTCCATGATGCCTTATGATGCAAGAATTTGAACACAGCATCCATCCCAGTTCTTGCATGGCCAGCATAACGGACATATCACCCATTAGGCATGGTTGGGATGCTCTGTAGCGGCGAACTCGACAGTACCGTTGCAGTGATTGTCAATATCCAGCAACCACAGAGCTATTGAGAGTAACCCAACGTTCCAAAAGCCACAACAACCTGATCAACTATGCGAAAGAATTATGTTGGACACGAGCCAAACCATTCCACCAGTTACTGGTTGTCTGGGCCCCTTAAATGTATTAAAATTGCACATTGGGTACACCTGTTCATTAGTAATGCTCTTTAATCAGAATCTTATAACACATCTGTGATGTATATAATTTCAGTAAAGCGGCTTTAAAATTGGAGCATGAACATTAGTATAATTCTGTTCAATGGGTGTGTGAATCTACCCTATTAGTTTTGGCCTAGTTTTCATGCTTACGCGGCCACGACAGAAAATTATGACAAATAAGGAAGTAAGCGTAAAACTACAACTGTACCCATGATGCACTTCTTCAGCCAGCTTTTCCGGTTTCCCGTCATGAAACGCAGTTTGAAAATGGCGGCCGACCACTTTCACAACATGTATATACCTCTTCGCTTATCGCGCCGTTGAGTTTATTTGGATTAATTTAATCTCAGTGTTTTCAACGGAATTTTCACAATGCCGAAATATTACGAGGATAAAGAGGAAGACACACGAGCCTGTGCTGGCATACGAGAAGACTTCAAAGCATGTCTCCTTCAACACGACTGTGTCATTAAGGTAACCCTGACTTGCCTGTATTGTCCTCTTTACTTGTTTTTATTTTTGGTTTATTAGTGTAACATTTTGTGAGTATAAATCAATATGTATTAATACTTTAGTATTGTCTGTCCCAAAATGACGGTAATTGGAAATATTCTTCGTGGCCAGCATGGTAGTTAATGTGAGTGTGAATGATTCTTTGTCAACTAACTACTAAATCTAAACCCCTATGTTTGCCTGGCAACCAGTCCAAGGTGTACCCCACCTCTCTCCCAAAGGATAGGCTCCAGATCACCGGCGATGATGACATTGTTTTGTCCATATGCAAGTAGGCATTAAAAATATCTTCCTCTCTACCTTTTTAGGAGGGGAAGATGCCTAGTGAGTGCTTGAAGGAAGGTCATTGCAAAGCCCTGCAGACGTCATTCTTTGAGTGCAAAAGGTCCATGGTGAGTTTGTAAATAGACTTGGCATAAAGCCCGTAAAATGACAACTCACATTCTCGCATTGTCCAAATACAGCTGGACACAAGGTCAAGATTCAGAGGAAGAAAAGGATATTAAAGCACGAACATGGTCACACACAATTAAAGACTGCAAGGCCAACTGTGCCAGTTAAGCTTCTCCTTTTCCTCCTTGCTTGAACATGTCAAGACGTCAGGTAGTAAAGGACTGACAATTTTTTAACGAACTATGCACTCTGGGCATGTATCAAAGTCTAGGAGTCAATCACAAAAGAAAATCTGAAAAAAATTGTATTATTACAAAAAAAATATGACTTTCCTAGATAGCAATGACTTAACTCTTGTAATATTTATTCTTGTCAATGTGGCCTCAATATTACTTTGTGTGCTGCAATGAAGAATAAATGCAAATTGAATGAAACAAAAAATGTGTTGAAGTTATTCCCCTCACACCCTCCTGTCTTCTTGCGGTTTTTTTGGTGTATATTTTGTGAAGTTTTAAAATATGGCTTTCTAGGAAATTCAAATAAAATGACAATGTGGGCTTGTACTTTTAATTGTTATTAATAGCTAATGACATTCAGCCATTCATCATGCACTGGCTGAGGCTGTCGGTTGACCTGGCAGAGGATCGCCGCACTTGGGCCGCCATGATCAGCGATGTCGTGCGTGCCAAGGAAGAAGCCGGTTCAACCCGCCCAGGGTGAAGGCCGTTGCAAACAAACAACAAAAAACAAACATGCACTGATCATGTTAATTTCTCACTGAAATTATCGACAATCATTTAGCAAGATAGGGAAAACACAAATATCAAAATGCAGGACTTTATTCATCTCTACAAGTTTTGACATTTTCAACGGAGAAAAAATCACAATGTCCCATCACTGGCGAGCTGTACAGTAGAACTTTTCATGTGGTCCTTAGAATTGACCCGATGTCTACCCATGTTGTCCTTGGGGCTAAATAGTACCCGTTGGCGCTTTTTTATTTTATTTTAATTTTTTTTTTTTTTTTAACAGACAGTGCACATTTATCGGAGCAAAGAGGTATCTGTGTTTGCAGTACAGTATCGTCTCGCTTCTACTCTCCTCCTTTGCCACTAAGCTCTGAGAAGGAAGGGGGGAAAAAAGTACATTGGAGGTAATTAACTTTAAAGCTCGTTTACTGAACTCTGCATGCAGCCAATCACATTGTGCTCTCGTTAGAAAAAAAAAAGAAAATTCCCGGTGACGCCAGTGTTAGCAGTTACTGAAACCTTCACTTTTTAAAACCATGTCAACTGGCAAACCGATAATCGGCCCATGCCAAGACCAACAAAAATTATTCCAAAACGTTTTCCACCGTTAATGTGACCTATAAGTTGTATGTCAGTTCTGAAATGATGCATTTTGATCTCCTTGTTTTACATCACAACATGGCATTCAAACTGGGGTATTCATTCATTCTTTAAAATCCAACTGGGGTGTGTTTGCTTTTATCGGCATTGTATTAACTTGATTCAATAAGGATCCTATCTCGCTGTCAGAAGCTCTGTTGGAAAAGGTTGCCGTTGCCCTTTTGTCCTTCAATCATTAGAAACTATTTCAAGGCCGCCATCATCATTTCCTTAAACTTCTCCAAGTCCACCTTTTTCATAATGAGAGCCTTGTGAGTCTTGTTGAGGATGCCCCGTGTATCCACCACCATCATACCCCGCGTGTGCATGCCCGTCAGCTCCACGCTGACCGGGTAGCAGTCGCTTTCGATGACAAACGTTTCGTCCACGGCGGCAGCCATGGCGTAAGAGTCGCAGGAGACGAAGCCGCTGCCGCCCACCAACTCCTTTTGGACGCGCTTGCCGAGCGACGCCTCGATGCTGTGGCGCGAGATACGCGCCATGAAGCGAGCTTTGGCTGTGGGCTGTGCCAGCCAGGTGTCACAGAACTCCTTTTAGAACATGCCAAGCAAAAAGATCGTGTTCAGATGGTTATGTTCACGTCATCCGATACAGCACATTTACATGGAAAACGCATCTCTACTGACAAAATTGTCTCGTGAAGAATTTTTTGTCCAGATCCAATTAATTTCGTAAGTAGAGGTACCACTGTAAAATTCGTGGGTTGTTCCATGCCAAATCAGTCCACTGGGTTCAACCATGCTGCTTTTGATTTTTGAATGATACTTGGTGTACTTTTTGAGAGTGATGGCGCAACACTAAATTTGACGTCAATCGCAGAAGAGGTTTGGGAGCTACGGCTGATGTTTTTTGGGCAAAAAGGGGCGTGGCTGCCATTGTTTGAAACTTTGTATCTCAAGAACTACTGGGTCAATCTTCACAAAAGGGAGACTGTTGGAATGGCAAGTCAACAATGATGCCAAATCTGCAATCATTACTAAAATTGGTGCACAGTTGAGTAACTTGACCTTTTGACCTAAAATGGATTCTTATCTGATTTGGGGTGTCGAATTTATGGCTATGTCATAGAATGTTTGGTACGTGAAGGACCTGTTGTTAAATGCTCACCCAGGACAGTTTGCTGTAGCAGGTAAACTCCCAGCAGGCCAAGTAGGTCGGACAGCAGTAGTCATTCAGCACGATGTACGCCGCTTCCGGATCGGCTGTGAAGTTGAACTCTCCGCACGCTGTGGTGTTCCCTCGTGCTTCTCGAACGACAGCAAACGTGTCACTTCTAAAGCGCTCCGCAGTAATCTATTACTTGTCGAAAGATGTGCTGCGCGACTGACATTCGGTGTTGCCTCCCATGATGTAGAGCCCTCGAAGCTTGCTCGGCAAGGACGGATCCAACCTCACGGCCAGGGCCAGGTTGGTGAGGGGCGCCGTGGCGACCAGCGACACCTGGCAGGGACGTGGGAGAACCACTCACTGGTCATAATATTAGGTACACCAAGAGAACCAGAAGAACGTTGTTTTGAATGCTGAGGCAGACAGATATTCAACTCCAGTGCCGTGAAAAAGTATTCCCTCCCTCCCACCCCCTCCTGACTTCACTTTCTGACTGTCTGTGAAAAAGTAATTGTCCCCTGGACCTCATAATGGGTTGTACAACCCTTGGATGTGTACCTAGTATTGTGGTCCCTCACCTCTCCTGGGTTCTCATTAACGATTCTGATCATAGCCATCACGGCGCTCTCCTCCTGCACCAGATCCGCACTGGGAGCGTTCGGGTCGGGGGCGTCTCCGAGGCCGTCCAGCCCATGGAAGTGGCCCGAATTAATCGAATTGCCAACGAGGGGCTTGGCAGCACCTTTAAACACTGGGATCTAGCACATGAAATGAAGCACTCAGGGGTTGACTAATGTATAACAAGAACAAAGTTGCCATGTGATAAGACAGAGTTGAATATAATAAATAGGTTTTTTATTTTCTGGTAATATTATCTGAAAAAGAAAATGCAACTGCTAATAGGTAACTGAGCCTTGCTGGTTGGAGAACAAGCAAATTATTGTCAGACAGTCTGACCTGTCACATGCGCGCAGTTAACTGCACTCATGTGAGGCTGCCTCTCTTCCATGTCCTCATATTTCAAATTCAAACCAAAATGGACCCACCTCCAACCTATCGCAAGCTTGCAGAACACGCAGGGTGTTTCTGCACACGTTCTCCACCGTGGTGTTTCCGTGCACGCAGGTCACCCCCAGCAAGTCCACGTTGGGGGCGGCCAACGCCAACATGATGGCCTGCGCGTCATCCACGCCGCAGTCCACATCCACCAGCAGCTTCTTCCTCATCCTAGAGTCTTTTTTGGGGGGGGTCTGGGGGGCACAATTTAACAGCACAGTTACACAAATGGTGACCAAGCTTTTATGCTTGGAGAGCCAAGTTCACGGCGCTCTCCTCCTGCACCAGATCCGCACTGGGAGCGTTCGGGTCGGGGGCGTCTCCGAGGCCGTCCAGCCCATGGAAGTGGCCCGAATTAATCGAATTGCCAACGAGGGGCTTGGCAGCACCTTTAAACACTGGGATCTAGCACATGAAATGAAGCACTCAGGGGTTGACTAATGTATAACAAGAACAAAGTTGCCATGTGATAAGACAGAGTTGAAATATATTGGGGGTTTCAAAAAAAAAAAATGTAAATATGATGAAAATTAAGTTGTACTTAAAAAAAGTCTTATTTTTACAGAAAAAGTGCATTATGAGAACAAAGTCACAATATTTGAAGTGATAATACTTAACTAATAGTAATATTACACAATAGTCCTACATTCACTGTCCCAAAACAACTCGCGACTCAAGACTGATGATTTGTGACTCAAGATTCACAAATTTTATATATATATATATATATATATATATAATGGCCTGCGCGTCATCCACGCCGCAGTCCACATCCACCAGCAGCTTCTTCCTCATCCTAGAGTCTTTTTTGGGGGGGGTCTGGGGGGCACAATTTAACAGCACAGTTACACAAATGGTGACCAAGCTTTTATGCTTGGAGAGCCAAGTGTTTCTTTTAGTTGGTACTTGGTGTAAAAAAAAAAAGAAATTGACAACCACTGACTTGAGCGCCTACTTACCTTTTGGATATGAAAATGAACTGAGTGTCCTCAGATATTGAAAACAAAGATCAGTTGTCCTTAACCTTTGGGCCGAAATATAAAAAAACAAAAAAAATGTGTAAGACAGTTGATAGCTGCTGTTAACAACAAAGCTACCGGTCGATGATTTACCCGGTAATGTCAAAAAAAGTTGAAATGTTCCAAAAAAGAAAGTTGTATTTTTTTTAAATTAATGAATTAAATACAGGAATGAGAAGTAATACTATTTAAAAAAGTCATCATGTTATGAGGATACAGTTCAAAATATAATGTCCCAAAAAGTCAATGTTGGGAAAACACTTTTTTTCTTTTTCCTGGGAAAAAAAATGTCATTGTACAATTTAACGAAACTTAAAATTTTAAAGTATGACTTCTATTTCCACAAAACTACATGTTTCAAGAAAAAAAAATTGAATAACATGTCAAAAGAGATACTTTTTATAGTCATATTTTTCTTCGAAAAACTGTCATTGTTTAATCGGGAGAAAGGGCTGATTTTACAAGAAAAAAAGTTTGAGGGGTTTTTTTTTCAAGGAAATTATTGCCAAACCATTTGGCAGTTGATGAAAACAGTTATGTCGTCAATTAAATGTAAAGTACAAATTAGAAAGGTTGAAAAATGTTGATAATTTCTCTGCGTCTGATTTGGAAATCTCACGCAAATTTACGATTTACCCTCTTGGGATTGTTTATTCGGCCCAAATTCTGAATGCACGGGCCGGTAGCACAATAGGAAATGCACAATGCATATAACGCAACAAATTCACCTCGTAATGTCGTAAAGTATTGAAGGGATTTGGGATTACCTGCGTGAAAGGCTGCAGCAAAAGACGGCTGCGCGCAGGGCCATGCAGGGAGACAAAATAAAGAGAAGACTCAAAAGAGGAAGAGTCGCACTCGGTGTATTTTTCGAAATTGTAAGCACGTCAATGTTTACGTTTTTAAATTGACCAAGCCGGAGGTAGATGCACTCTAAAATCTTAAACAAGTTTTAGACATCTTAAAAATGACTTGTTTGTGTGTTTGAAAAATTAATAAAGTTACGTTGGGCTGCATTTAATGCTAGAGGATCTCCGCACTACTTTGCGTCACTTCCGGTTGTTGCCTTAAAGGAAAACACGCACTCGATACTTTTCCATCGTTATCCCTAATTTTTTTTGTTTTGGAATAGGCTCATGGTACTTTTAGTCAATAGATGTGAATTTATTACAATGTGACAGTGATCACATCTGCTTTATCTTCTTAAATAGTCGCGAGTGTGCTGGAGCCTATCCCAGCTGTCTTTGGGCAGTCAGCGGGGGACACCCTGAACCGGTTGCTAGCCAATCGCAAGGCACACATAAACGAACAACCACCCGCGCTCATTATCACACCGAGGGAATATTTAGAGTGTTCCATTAACCTGCCATGCATGTTTTTAGAATGTGGGAGTAAACCTAAGTACCCAGAGAAAAGCCACGCAGGCATGCGGAGAACATGCACACTCCACGGAGTCTCAAAACTCGCACCTCTGCACTGTGAGGCGGACGTGCTAGCCAGTCACCATCCGCTATTGGAGAATATAATATTCAAATACGCCCAGACGTTTCAGGCAAACGTGTCAAATGTGTCGATATCCAAGAAAACAGGAAATAAACATTGCAGGCGACATATAATTTTTCTCACACGTTTTTGAGTTGACCATCTCTTTATTCAGCAGCCATTTTTACCAACTCTTCCACCCGTGTGCATGTAACATACTCAATAATTTCAGTAACGTACATTAACATAAGTAGCTATAAGCAAAATAACTATGATTATTAAAATAAAGTTGGCAGTGTTTCTTGATACAGAATAGTAAGATACACGGGGCCTGATATGGCAGCAACAGAAGAGGTGTTAAAGCTCAGTACAATTTATGCTTGACTGCAGCAAGAATGCTTTTTTTTTAAATCCCATGCACAAGTTTTTATTTTTAATTTTTTGTGTGTGCCACATTGTGCATAAGTGAACTGAATGCCGTGAATCAAAGCAATACATGCTGCATGGTTCTTATTCTGCCAGTTAAAAGACACACAACAGTAGCTTCCAGTGTACAATCAAATACTGTAATATTCAATTCACAGCTAGTGCGCTGGGAACATTTCGTGCACCTGACACAACCTCTGTTTTCCTGCACATTCACTCATTTCATCATCATTTGTGGCATTTGTGAGGAAAACAAAAATCAGTAGACTGGCTATGTATGAAGGACTATTGGGGGGAAACAAGGACTGCGAATCAAGGTGAAAGTTTACGAGGTTTAAATTGTGCCATTTTGAGAATGGATATTTTCAGGAAAGACGTTTTGAGAAAAGTATGTCTTTTTAAAACTCAAGCTGCAATATTAAAAGAAAATGTCTAGTTTTAAGAATACAATAGTTGAAAGAACTTTTAAAATGAGACTAAAGTGTTTTTTTTTTTTAAGTCATAGTGTTATGAGAATAAAGTCGTATATTTTCAATGTTAAAGTCATAATGTGATGAGAATAACATCCAAGGATTTCATGGGGAGATAAATGAAATCAGAGGAGCATGACTTACACGTGTGTGGGCGGATTTTGAAATTCACTTCTTAAAATCGGAGTTCAACGGAACAGGGAAAAAAAAAATCTCGGGTATTCGACTGCAAATTGATGACTATCCTTGCGTGATTACGCCTAATCTTGTCGTGTATTTTTGTTGATTTTTTTCTTTTCAATGTGGCACTTAACATTGCTTGGCTGTTGTACTTCAACTTGACAGGAAGCAAAACCACGAGAGAGCAACCTACAATAGCACTTGGACATAAACGAATCTCCTTATTAGTAACTAAACACAAACAACTGTGTGTGTGTGTGTGTGTGTGCGTGTGTGTGTGTGTGTGTGTGTGTGTGTGTGCGTGTGTGTGTGTGTGTGTGTGTGTGTGTGTGTGTGTGTGTGTGTGTGTGTGTGTACATATTGGAGGCGCTTCATCAGTCTTTCTACTTTGTATGTCGTTTAGGATTCGACTTTCCCGTACGTGCCCTCCGGAGGGCGATATTGTTTGGGGAAGGCCTTGAGCTGGAGTGAGTTGAAGGCGTATTTGCGGCAGCCCACGTTCTTCATGGTGTTCTCCCGTCTGCAGCCCTCGCTGTTTGCACGAGCAAAACACATCAGAGCACAGGAGGTAACAATAATAGTACAGTGCAGTACCACTGCATTCGTGATCAGCATCTGGCGAGCAACTGACCTGCGCATGCAGTCCAGAGCCTGGTAGAAGACCTGCGGCGCCAGAGCGTGCTCCTGCTGCAGGATGTGACACTGCTCCAGGGTCAGCGACATGGCCGTGCGGTCCTTGGCGCTCTTGCAGCTTGTGAAGCGCACGCCGTTCAGGCGCCGGCACGCCTGCAGCCGACGCAGAAATAGAAGTCGGTAGACTCACGGGGCTGCTGCGAAATCTACTTGGTTGAGTTCGGACAATGCTCGTCCTTTTCTGGGTCTCACTGAACAGTATCGAGTCTTTTTTTTTTTTTCGTGCTCAGTATCGATTTTTCCGTTAGCGTTCGCGTAATGCAAACGTAAGACATTTTTACGTTGGGGACAACGTTACAGTACACCACCAAACAATTTTTTTTTAATTGTCAAAATATGACTTTGGGCATGATTTTAAGAGGACGGTGAGCACTTACCTCTGCCGCCTGCCACAAAATCTCCACGTTCTTGCTCTTTTTGGCGTTGACATTGTGACTGAGCTGTTTGAGCAGATCGGGCAGACTGGCGGTGCTACGCGAGCGAGGAAGACCTACGAAGATGACAGGAGGAGGAAGAATGGAGTTTTGTGGTGGTCTTTATGCTTGGAGGAAGAGTGGACTCACAATCTTCGGGCAGGACTTCTTTAAAGTGGTCGTAGTACAAGCTGAGGCGAGCCATGCTCTCGATATTGATTACCTCCTGCAGAGATGTGTCTCCAAACCTGCACACACACACACACACCAACAGACATATTACATGACTAATATCGCCATCAAATTTTTAAAAAATCGCAGACTTTTTAAAATTTTCCATTCACTGTCTTATTTTCTTGAATTCTTTTGGGATGAACTTACTTCTCAGCCAGTGTTTGCTGCTCATTGATGCCTACGTTGAAGAGGACAGGCTGCACCCGCAGCAGCATGCCGTTCTGGATTTCCCGTGGCAGACTGTCGAAAATGGCCGCGGGGATGGGGACTCTGATGTTAAAACCGTTCCTGTTTCCCGTGATGACGGGCAGCATGTCCGGGCTGAAGGCCGTACTTGCTTGCGTGATTTTAAAGGTGACGTTCCTCAGGTCATTCACCCCAACGCTCATGTCCTCCAACATGGCAAGCTCCTCACCTAAAGGTGACAAAAACAAATGGATGTATGAACGCTCGTCACAGCGGTTCAGGAAACTGAGATTCCCTCAAATACATGAACACACACACACAATTTTATTTGATATCATATGGTCCGACAGCCCGGTGATCCGGTGGTTAGTGTGTCGACCTCACAGTGCAGAGGCACCGGGTTCAATCCCAGCTCTGTGTGGAGTTTGCATGTTCTCCCCGGGCCCGCGTGGGTTTTCTTTGGGTGCTCCGGTTTCCTCCCACATTCCAAAAACATCCATGGCAGGCTGATTGAACACTCTAAATTGTCCCTAGGTGTGAGTGTGAGCGCGGCGCTTATCTCAATCGTCATCGGGCAGTAGGCGGGGGACACCCTGAACTGTTCGCCAGCCAATTGCAGCGCACACAGAGACGAACAACCATCCGAGCTCACACTCACACCTCGGGAAAAATTTAGAGTGTTCAATCAGCCTGCCATAAGTGTTTTTGGAATGTGGGAGGAAACAGGAGCACCCGGACAAAACCCACGCAGGCACGGGGAGATCATGCAAACTCCACACAGGAGCCGGGATCAAACTCACCACCTCTGCAATGTGAGGTCGACGCAGTAACCACTCGACTGGGCTGCCTATACACAGCCACACACACACACACACACACACACACACACACACACACACACACACATATATATATAATATGTGTAGTGGCTGAATACTGGTCTCGGCCACTACACTCACACATTACCGTAGGTGCTGAGCAAGCTCTCATACTGCACCAGCAGGCCGATGGTGTGGAGCTGCTTGAGGAAACCCGAGTCGCACAGACTGTTCCTCAGCTTGAGGACGAAGCCGCAGGTAAGAGCCGTTAGCTGTAAAGCACACCGACAGAAATCATCATCCTCCTCATCTTCGTCTTGGTGCGGTTGCAGGCAGCCGCCGAGAACTGACGGTCTGGCAGAAGACGACGTCGCGGCGGTACTGCAGCGTGAGGCTCATGGCGATGGTGGGGGCGCTGTCTTGCATGAGCAGGAACACCATGGCCTTCTTGGCTTTGTCACTCATCAGCGAGGCGCAGTCGCTCAGCGTGGAGAGCAGAGGGTGCAGGGCCTCGGCCCACTCGCCTGCAGGTAAGAGGCAACGGTTGCTTTACGCTACAGTGCTGCTATACCATTTTTGGGCACCCAGCCACAATTGCTTGTTGACAAACCTGCCTATTTGCGGATTGTGTGTTAGTTCTGAAATGCCACAAGATAACGAACGGTAAAGCCTTGTCGAATACAAAAGTAGAGTTTGGCGCTATCTTGGTGCCAAGGAACTATGTTGAAGTAAAGGAAGGAGGTTCTATTAGACAGATAAAATCCCTTTGTAAATCGCACTTGTCGCATTTATAAAGCCTTTCAGAAGGACGTCAATCGCTCACAGATTTTATTTATTTACATTATTTGGGTATTTATTATGATCCTATTGTATATTTATTCGATGTATCTAGCTCGACCTGTGCTCCTCAATTATTTTCTTTTATACGCCCGCCCGGGAAGAATAAAACAGTTTGAGCTCCCAGACTCTCCATCGCATGAAAATAGCATAATTTGTCTCTCTCTATATATTTTTTTGATAAATACACCATTTTATCCTTATTAACATGAAAGAAAACAAAAGAAAAAGAAATAAAAATTTGCTGAATAACTTCATCAACATTGTTTATACTCGCTGCACGCACTCCAACAATGGGAGTGACACTGCCACCTACTGTATTGGATGTGTTATTACACGTTATTATTTCACAGTAAAAACAAGAGGATGTACCCTGGGGTCACTCACCCCATCCCACTTTTTGAGAAAAACTGATCCGGACAAAATCTTTCTGCCTCTATGCCCGCAAAATAAATCCATGGAAGTAAATAACCAAGCACAGCGTAACGGTTAATGTTCATGAATGATTGTGTTTTATACAGGATATTTAATAAACACTGCAGTTGACTTTTCACACAGCTTCATTGAGATTGGCCCTTTCTTTTCAATACGTACCCCCAAAAGTTCCAAAGAAAAGAAAATTTTGTGGGGCCCACTGAGATCTACCTCATAATGTATGCTTGATGCTGAATTTTATTGTCTTCATTCAGATCTTACCTGGTGATGATTTTTCACGCTCGGGACTGCTACCTAGCAGTGAGAGAGAACAACACATTTTGTGGGCATGTGTCAGTATGTCTTTTTTTTTTTATGGTTTCTTGCGTGATTATCTTGTACGATGCAAGATTTGGTTCAATTGTTGTTCAGAAACAGTTTGATGGTCTGTTCCTGGACCAGTTTCAGAATCGGAAAATATGAGAGGTTAACCTTTTTTTGTCTTTGTGGGGTCCTCACTTGCCAATGCGAACACGTCATCGGAACTGCTGTCACTCTGGAGCTGATCCCCACGCAGCAACCTGTCCACCCTCTGAATTACACACTCCAGACTCTTGTCTACATTCAGCCACACTTTCTCCTGCACACATATTACATACGATAGCGTCTCATCACGACGACACAAAATGGACACGAGAGGCCCGTGGACGTTCTCGTACCCACTCCTCCGTGTGCAAGTCAGCCTGCAATGAGGCCCGCTTATTTTTAATCCCGTCGATGCTCTCCGGCGGGGTGGCGAGACGGGAGGGTGAGGTCGCCGCCCGCGATGGGGATGATGGGTGGTGAGCGGGTGAGCGCGAGGGGGAGCGCGAGGAAGGGGACAGGGAAGATGAGGATGGGGACGGGCTGCCTTGCAGGGCGGACTCCGGGCGGGCGCCGGCAAGGGCGACGATGGCCGAGGACAAGAGCTTGGAGTCGCACACGCTCACCAACTGACGAGTCTGAAATAGGCCAGCACACAGATTGCCAAAACTCATTTCAATTGTACTTAACCCTTTCATGCACCCTGTAACCCGATAACATGGTAAGCTGTCCACTGTAGTAACTGCTCCCCCCGAAAGGGTTAAATGTTCTATTATGTTGAGTAGGATCTCAGTCAAGGCTGTGCGATTTCTGTAAAATGTTTACATTTTTACAACTCCAAACACTTCCTATATTGTCGCTCTGCTGAATGCACTGAAACCACGCTCGACACAACTGTCAATCAAATACCACGACCACAACCCGGAATAATGACTGCGACTTCGAGCGTCTTTCTTATGCTTAATCTTTTTACTTGCAGAATGCACAATGAATATAAGGCCCAAATCCTCATGCTTCTCCCCACCTTCTCTTTGAGGATGGCCAAAGTTCTCTCCACTGCGTTGGCCGAGCGCTCCTTGGCCGCCCTCGTCAGACGCTCGATGTAGTAGCACACTTGGGTCTTCAGTGTGTTAATTTGGCCGATCAGCTCCTTTGCTCTGATGACATCCTGCGGCTGGTATGCCATTCTTCTCAACCTGGCGGAACGATGAAAAAAACATGTCGATTTAATTGCCACGAACGTCAACAAAGCACCAGCGTCATCATCAGTCTCACCTCTCTTCATCGTAAGAGCTGGTGGTGCAAAAAAAAAAAAAAAACAGAAAGAGAGGGTCATATTTATCTCCAATTAATCAATTTGGGCGCACTTAATAACTTTGCTTCATCTTACTCTTTTCTGGTCTCTTCAAGCTTGTGCAGGAGTTTCCTCAGGCCGCAGCCTTTGAAGCCTTGATGGTGTGCAGCGGGAGCGCCGTTGGTCACCACGTCATACGTGTGGTCTGATCGAATGACACGGGTGTAAAGGCTCAGTGACAACAAGGGAAAATACATAACATTTCTGTGAAAGTCCAACAAGATAACCTGTTAGGCTCACAGTCTAATAAGATCCAATGGAAAAGATGTGGCAGAAATTCTATCAAAACCAAGATCATATTTCATTAAATAGTGGATTGAGTATTGGGTCTGCAAGTTTACCATAGCCGGATTCTCCTTGTACTCTCATCCTCTGGATGTGTAAATTTGTCGGAATAAACTCCAACTTCCTCTCAGCTTTCAGTGCGCTAGATTTAAAAGAAGGTCCTGAAAAGGAGAAACGTTCTCATTTATTTCCGTTTGAACTCAATTGCCAACCAAAACATTTGCACCTACCACAGCACAAAGAGTAAGAGACTCGTTGCTTATTTTATACAAGTAGCTCTCTACATAATATGGAGGACATAATAATATGGAGGCAATATATTTTAATGATGATGAATGTTCTAGTCGACTCAATCATTGATGCTCCAAAATGTTGTGTGCATCAAATTCAGGTCAGACCCATGCAGGTTTGTTATGTAATTATTTCTAAGTTGAACAATGTGGTTTTGCTAAAAAAAAAAAAAAAAAGTTTACAATGGTTGGGGGCTGTGTTCCAGTATACACTAAACTTGTGGTTCTTACCTTTGTACTCATGCAGGTCACTGATGGTCTCCTGATATGTGAGAATGATGGTCTGGTAATGAGTGATGATCTGCCTCCTGAGGTTCTCCCAGCACGGAGACAGCTCGCCCAGTTCTTCCAGTTCACACACCCTTTGTGAGGTTGAAGGTATACAGAAGCATGATCTCAATTTCAAGGAAAACGGAAGAGGAAGTGGAAGTTGTTATGTAACCTGGTCGAAAGAGTTAACTCTCAACGATACCTAACGGCGTCTTCTTCCAGCAGCAGCTTCACAAACTGTCGAGGGATTTGCAGGGAGAGCACACTCTCAGCCATCTGCTCCAGGACGCCGAGATGGTTGCCGTCCGTGGTGGGGAAACGGTACGTCTGGGACATGACGCTTCCGAACACTTGAAACGACCGGAAACGTAACCGGCGTGACGCTGGAGAAACTTTCTTGAAGTTCAGACGCTCGCCGATAGTACTCACCGGCCTTAAGCAGGGGATCTTTACACAGGGATGAAGACTTGGACTTGATGCCTTTGGATTCAGTCAGGCTTTCGTCGACTGGAAGGACCATCTGGAAATGTGTGCCGGTGTTAATCCCGACATGACTTTTCAGTGCTACATATTGAAACAGCACAAGTATACTGTACCTAGCCAGACGTATAGATATTTAAATTAGGAGTATGGGTACTGATTCAGCTCCTGTATTTAAGTAGAAGTAAACGGATAGACACCGAAATGTACTAAAGCACTAAATAGTACAAAGGTTAAAAAGTAGAATTTGATCATAAATTATACACAATACCCGACTTGATATCTTGGCACAACAAAACTTCTCCGCAGAGAAAATAGTTGGTCTTTTTTTTTTTTTTTTTTTTCACCTTACTGCTCATGCTTAGGACAGAAATCAGCTGAGAGAGCTAGCTAGCATTGTCTTGGCTGTTTTGCAACCAAAACAACGTGTTCACAAAGCCCTCCAAATGTTGTGAATTGGTTAGCAAAAAAGCTATATTTGCTAATAATTAACAACCCAAAAAATATATGTGTTTTTCAGTTTAGATGGAGACGTTTTTAACACTTGAAGCTAGAAACTTGTGGTTATTAGCCTGGCGCAAGATACGGCACATTTCTCTCGAAGCATTCTTGTTACTGAGTTAAGATTTCAAGATCATCTCAACCGCGGTTGCCTTGACCTCTCTTTTTATTTTTTTCGTATATTGTATCTTTATACTTTGGGAAAAAAAAGTACAGAGCCTATTTTGACAGTAAAGAGTGGAAAGTACAGATCTCTGTTTTCAAATGTGAGGAGTAAATGTGACAAGTCGTCAATACTCCATCATACATATATCAGATATCACTCCGTAAATTACAGATATCTGAAAAATATCAGTACGGTCCCAAAGTATTTGTACTTTCTTACTTGCCCCAGAAATAGTCAAGGGATCACGAGTGATTCCTGCCCACTCACCCTTCCATTAACAGTGTCTCCTCGCTGTAATTTGGCGACTGGCCCTCTCTGGTCGCGTTTCTCCTCAATCTGCCAGGCAATGACTGTGAGATTGCCCACTCGCTCATTCTCGGCCGACCTGGAAGTAAACTCAATGAGCGAGATCCCCATTCCAGCTGGTGGTTGCTTTAAAGGAGGAGCACGCTGAAGAGGGGGTTGGTGGTTGGGGGCTACCTGAGAGTGAGGTGCAGGCGGTGGTGTTTGTCCTGCAGGAGCTCCTTCAAAGAAAATATGGCCGAGCCGAGCATGTACATCTGGTTGATACGAGACACAATTGGTATTTAAGAGAGTTCACCAAACGGGTTGGTTAGATCGTGACACAAAGATTCCGCATGTGACTTACGGTGCCCTGGGAACGATCCTTCACGTCGTAGACGCAGAGCTTGACCTGGGTCTGCTGGGTGATCAGAGAGTCCTGGAAGAAGGCCACGCTACTCAGGAAGATGGGGTTACTTGTCCCCTGTGGGCAACACGGAAGGCTTAAAGTTGCTTCTCCTTAACAGCATAAAGGAAAGACGTGTGTTCTATACCTCAATTATTTCAGTTTGAGAATGTTTGGTCCAGAAGGCCTGAGGGGGAGTTGTGCAGCTGACAGCCACAAAGCTGCTGGGCTTACGGTCGACAGTCGGTGTGATCAGTTCACTGCAGACTGGAGGAAACAGGAAGTCAGGGAGCAGTCACTCATCCTTGATTATACGCTCTCACATAAATGCATTTTCAAATGTTTGTAGAACAAACAATTGAGCTGCGGTGAGTCTCGAGTAAGATCTAACTGTTCTGGACCAGGTTTAAGCAATTCATCGTCCTCTGGTGCAAATCTAGATTGAGTCCCAAGTTTCAAGCTATATGATCCGAGTCTCTTCATTAGTCATTTGGTTCCAAACAACTACAACAAAGGGAATGATTTGATTGTTATCGTTAGTGAGCCCCGAGTCATTTGATTTGGTCCCTGTTTTAACACTTAGAGTCCCGGCTTTATTTAAGGATCAAGTCACTGGTTACTTGATCCTTAAATTAAAAAAAGCTAGCTAGCATTGTCTTGGCTGTTTTGCAACCAAAACAACGTGTTCACAAAGCCCTCCAAATGTTGTGAATTGGTTAGCAAAAAAGCTATATTTGCTAATAATTAACAACCCAAAAAATATATGTGTTTTTCAGTTTAGATGGAGACGTTTTTAACACTTGAAGCTAGAAACTTGTGGTTATTAGCCTGGCGCAAGATACGGCACATTTCTCTCGAAGCATTCTTGTTACTGAGTTAAGATTTCAAGATCATCTCAACCGCGGTTGCCTTGACCTCTCTTTTTATTTTTTTCGTATATTGTATCTTTATACTTTGGGAAAAAAAAGTACAGAGCCTATTTTGACAGTAAAGAGTGGAAAGTACAGATCTCTGTTTTCAAATGTGAGGAGTAAATGTGACAAGTCGTCAATACTCCATCATACATATATCAGATATCACTCCGTAAATTACAGATATCTGAAAAATATCAGTACGGTCCCAAAGTATTTGTACTTTCTTACTTGCCCCAGAAATAGTCAAGGGATCACGAGTGATTCCTGCCCACTCACCCTTCCATTAACAGTGTCTCCTCGCTGTAATTTGGCGACTGGCCCTCTCTGGTCGCGTTTCTCCTCAATCTGCCAGGCAATGACTGTGAGATTGCCCACTCGCTCATTCTCGGCCGACCTGGAAGTAAACTCAATGAGCGAGATCCCCATTCCAGCTGGTGGTTGCTTTAAAGGAGGAGCACGCTGAAGAGGGGGTTGGTGGTTGGGGGCTACCTGAGAGTGAGGTGCAGGCGGTGGTGTTTGTCCTGCAGGAGCTCCTTCAAAGAAAATATGGCCGAGCCGAGCATGTACATCTGGTTGATACGAGACACAATTGGTATTTAAGAGAGTTCACCAAACGGGTTGGTTAGATCGTGACACAAAGATTCCGCATGTGACTTACGGTGCCCTGGGAACGATCCTTCACGTCGTAGACGCAGAGCTTGACCTGGGTCTGCTGGGTGATCAGAGAGTCCTGGAAGAAGGCCACGCTACTCAGGAAGATGGGGTTACTTGTCCCCTGTGGGCAACACGGAAGGCTTAAAGTTGCTTCTCCTTAACAGCATAAAGGAAAGACGTGTGTTCTATACCTCAATTATTTCAGTTTGAGAATGTTTGGTCCAGAAGGCCTGAGGGGGAGTGGTGCAGCTGACAGCCACAAAGCTGCTGGGCTTACGGTCGACAGTCGGTGTGATCAGTTCACTGCAGACTGGAGGAAACAGGAAGTCAGGGAGCAGTCACTCATCCTTGATTGTATGCTCTCACATAAATGCATTTTCAAATGTTTGTAAAACAAACAATTGAGCTGCGGTGAGTCTCGAGTAAGATCTCACTGTTCTGGACCAGGTTTGAGCAATTCATCGGCCTCTGGTGCAAATCTAGGGTGAGTCCCAAGTTCCAAGCTAAATGATCCGAGTCTCTTCATAAGTCAAGACATTTGGTTCCAAACAACTACTACAAGAGAAATGATTTGATTGTTATCGTTAGTGAGCCCCCAGTCATTTGATTTGGTCCCTGTTTTAAGCAAGTCACTGGTTACTTGATCCTTAAATTAAAAAAAAAAAAAATCGGATTGTGTGGTCTTACCCAAACTGAACTCTAACACCGGCTCATCTGGGTCCTGACTGTTGCCTGTTGACAAGAGAGGAAGGAAAAAGAGCTCTATTGGAATACCTTTTTTTTAATCATCAACAGAGCAGACATGTTACCACGGATACGGTCTCATGGTTACCTGACAGAGCCAGCCCCATCATCTCTCCAGAAGGCCTGAGGGGGAGTGGTGCAGCTGACAGCCACAAAGCTGCTGGGCTTACGGTCGACAGTCGGTGTGATCAGTTCACTGCAGACTGGAGGAAACAGGAAGTCAGGGAGCAGTCACTCATCCTTGATTATACGCTCTCACATAAATGCATTTTCAAATGTTTGTAGAACAAACAATTGAGCTGCGGTGAGTCTCGAGTAAGATCTAACTGTTCTGGACCAGGTTTAAGCAATTCATCGTCCTCTGGTGCAAATCTAGATTGAGTCCCAAGTTTCAAGCTATATGATCCGAGTCTCTTCATTAGTCATTTGGTTCCAAACAACTACAACAAAGGGAATGATTTGATTGTTATCGTTAGTGAGCCCCGAGTCATTTGATTTGGTCCCTGTTTTAACACTTAGAGTCCCGGCTTTATTTAAGGATCAAGTCACTGGTTACTTGATCCTTAAATTAAAAAAAAAAAAAATCGTTTTGTGTGGTCTTACCCAAACTGAACTCTAACACCGGCTCATCTGGGTCCTGACTGTTGCCTGTTGACAAGAGAGGAAAAAGAGCTCTATTGGAATACCTTTTTTTTAATCATCAACAGAGCAGACATGTTACCACGGATACGGTCTCATGGTTACCTGACAGAGCCAGCCCCATCATCTCCGATGAAAGATCAAACGTGTTGGCCCGGTAGACTGACCACGGCCTGTGACGGGGGCTGCGCTCTTTCCCAGACATGGAGGGGTCACGGCGGGGCTGAGGATGCATTCTTTTTTTTTTTAAAGAACCCTGAAGAAATCTTAAGTGAACCTAGAACCTGAATTTCCCTCGCGATATGGGTGCCTCAGTCTCGGCAGTCACGCATGAGTCACTAACGAAAGGCAAACAAGAAAGAGGAGTGGGGGTTAGTCCGATGTCGCCATAGAAACAGATGAGATAGACAACTAATGATAATGATGGTGACATCATCCTCTCACACAGCTGGCTGCATTTAAATCGACACAATTATCTGCTTGCACGCACCGACTCTGTTGATGTGCTAATGTAGGCAGCGGCAAACTTTTCCCAGTGTGAACTCTAATACGGCTAAAAATACACCTGCTCTTTGCTCATGGTAGAAGGTGGAGGATGTTTATTCCACACACCATCCACAAAATTGCAAGCATAGAATTGTCCAAAATAGATGCCAGGTGTGTCCCAATAAAAGATAAACTAACAATGGAGTCTTATGGGGTACTGTAATACAAGTGTAGAAGTGACACCTGCTGTCGGAATATTTCATTCACTTTTGAATGTTCATAAAATACATTTTAATACAAAAAACCTAATTGGAAGATTACAACTAGTATTCCCTTAAGAGCATGTTTTTTTTTTTTTTTTTTTAAATCAAATCATCTTTGTTCAACTATCACATGTACTAAAGTGGCTCCTACAGCATTGGGCGAAACCTCAAAATATAACAATACATTCAAATACAAAATAACAAATAAATGTAAAGGTATTGGAAAAATTACAGTAAAATAAATCAAATAATAATTCACGATTCCCCAACTATCATTTTATACTGTATTGCTATTATTACAAAACAAATGAATGAATATCCAACCATTATCGGAACTGCTGAATAAATTAAATAGTAACGCTAAACTACATTTTAAAATCCTCAAAAGTATTTTTTTTAACCATTTTACTGTCCATCCCATTTTCTGTCCAGATCCAGATGATACGTTTAAATTACTGTAAATGCATCAACAATATACATTATTCATGTGACTGACTACACCAACAAAAAGGGATGAGCTATCTATATACGTGTGTAAATCGCTGTGGATTCATGCGTGAGAGCATCCGCCACGGCGCTCTATTTTTGCTTGACACTGTTTGACGTCACCCGCCCAAGCCAACACATGCTGCTCTTCTGCCCAGTCACAGATGACAAAGGCATTACGACTGCTGTATCCCTCGTTAGGGTGTGTGCTTGTTTTGTAGGCGTTTATCACGTCATCACGAGTCGGGGGTGTTGTAGCATCGCCCGAGAGAAGCTCTGAAGGAGTGTCACAGTTGGTTTGTTGCGGCGACACAGGGAGTCAAAGATGACCGTAGCTACATGTGTTTGACAACCACCATCATTTTCAGCTGCATGCGGCGAGCTTCGACATCATGTCATTCCCTCATTTGGCACCCCCACCTTGCAACCTAACAAACATGAGTAAAGGCAATGTACTTGCAGACTGAGGGGGCACTGTAGCAAAGTGGAAAGTGTGTAGTAGAGTTAAGGCTCAGCAAGTAACATTAGTAGTCCGCGATGGTGCCTTTACGGACATCGGTTCATTTCACTTTTGGGCGCCTTGAAGCTTCCCTTCCCGCAGCTCTCCTGTGAGCCCCCTGCTGGAAGACTGCGGGTGCAGTCAGAACCAGCTGTTCCATCAAACGTAGGCTTTTCAATTGAAACACATCATTTCCCAAGAACCTCCCGGGAAAACATTCTGACAGGACTCCGCACACATTATCGACGTCACAGCATCATAGTGCGTCACTCTCACGGATTCACGGACTATCAACAGGCCTCTCGTGGCTGAAGCCAGTGGGAAGCCATTTTACGATGCCACTGTTGCTGACAACTGTTTCACTGAAGTAATTGTTCATGTTTTATGTTAATATCCTTGTATGGAATAAAAAAAAAGCTATTAAAGAATGAACTTCACTTTTTGCATTGACCTCACAGTGTATATATATATATTATCTTAGTATCATTTAGTGTGATGACAGAGGTTAAGTTTATATATGACAGGATTTGTCACATTGGGATTTGCTTTCATTTCATTGTTGATGGTTCGGACAAAATGAAATAGATGAATCTTTGAGTAGAATTCAGAGTAGACCTCATACGAGAAAATTTTAAATTGCATTCTTACAAATGAAATTTGCAAGTTGCGGTATTGCATTTTTACCAAACTTAAATAAGTCTAATTTCAAATTTTTTTTAAAGCATTCTATGATTTCCATTAAAAAAAAAAACTAAATTTAACCGTGAAATTACACATAGTCACCTCAAATCCAACATTTCCTTGGCAATTATCTTTTTTTCCCCAAAATATTCAGCCTTTAAATTCTACTTTTTTGAGGAATGCCACACACATTTCACTTGAGAAAAAAAAAACAAATCAATGGAGAAAAATCACCCATTTACCCCAGTTTCTAAATTTCCATATGGCCTATCTGTTCTTATATTTCAGCTTCATTCATTTCAGTTCAGCATTCAAACACGATTCCAACAAAAATTTAAATTTCTAAATTGTTTCACAAAGCAGAGCAGACTGGATCAAACGTCCTCACGGGCTGTATATGACCTGTGGACCGCAGGTTTCCCACCACTGCATTAGAAATGCACTGACTGACTGTCGTACCCTTAAAGATGCTACTCTCACAGCACAACCCTTTTTGGTCCATCTTGAAGGAGTCAAACGCGCCACATCCGGTTGTAAACACAATGAAAACATCCCCTTTTCCCCTCCTCATAATCCACAGCCAATGGCCTGTATTTTAATCCGCATGAAACATGGTGTGTCATCCCGTCTGTTTACTTGGATGCTTGCATCACTTGTACGGCGACTGTGTGTGTGTGCGTGTGTGCGCAGTGTCACACGTTCACACAACAATATTCTAGAAATTGGCGTCATGATGTCTGCTGATGATTAGAAATAGGAGAAGGAGAAGGAGGGAGCGTGAGCACAGATAAGAAGAAAAACAGCCAAATCGAAATGAATTTAGCATCAGCACCTTGTCGCGCTGTGTGCCTGACATCATCGGGTATGACATGTAAATTAAGAAATCTGACCTTTGAAAGAAGCAAGTGGAAGAAGAAGACGTGTTATCATCGTGAGCCGAACAGTGCTGCTGTCATCCTGGCTGCTCGACGGCGTCCGCAAACTACACGAGACTCGCCCAGGCTCCCTCTGACAAGCTGCAGGGACTCCTTGGTCCCACTAGAGGGAGCTAAAAGCCTGTTCTGACCCACTAACTTGCTTCTCGAATAATAAATAATTATAATATGAGAAAGGGAATTCGTTTTGAAATGGGTCAACTTTTGGGAACGATATGAGTTTTTGCACGTGATCGATGGTGGTGCGCTAAACAATCAAGGTTATTTTGTCAAAAACACGAGTGAACGCAAATGTGCCAAAACTATTGAGACGGGCCTTTCCCTTTTTTTGGTGGTACTGATTCCCCATACGGGAAAGGAATCTCATGATCTGTGTTGTTGCCCAGAACTGTAAAACTGGACAAATGACCTTTTAAGAATGAAATTTCGCCTTTAAAAATGAGCCATACCAACGAAGAAAAACAAGCAATAACACGCGAAGTTAAAACACCGAAACTCGGCTATAGAGAGCCCATCAGATCACGTGACATTAATCAGTCGTGACCGCCGCCAAGATGTTGAGGAACTCGTGCACGCGCCCCAGGTAGACTTGCCCACAGGTGCGTGTGTTAGCGTGTGCAACTCTCTCTAAGTAGGACGCATCTTTGGAAGAAAACACGCACACCAAACACGCACCCGACAGCAGACTTTGGGGGGAAAAAATGTTGCTGTCACTAGCGAATGTTTCATTGAGGAAGAAAATATGATAACGCGCGGGTAAATCCTAATTGTCGCTAGTTACTTTCCTGGTGGATGGCTTGAGCGCATCTCCGTGGACTCGAAATGGATCCTCACCTCAACAGACCTTGGCACGTTTTGCTTCTTATTTGCGGCGTTTTAAGCGTCCTACATGGCTCCGCGGGGGAAATCCCACTTAACCCCACGCTGGATGGTGGTGTTGCTGCTGGCGGTGGTGTGACGCTTGTGCCCCCGATACAGCCGGACGGGCCACAGGCCTACCCGGAGCCCGAAAAGGACAGCTTGCCCGTTTTTACCATGGACTACCCGAGGATCCAAATCCCTTTCGAGATCACTCTGTGGGTGCTGCTAGCCTCTTTTGCCAAGATTGGTAAGTGTGTGTGTGTCGTTATATATATATATTCCAAAGATGTAAAACATTGCATGAAAAAGTTCATTTTACCTCACAGAAGTTAAGAAAGTACAGAAGCTGAAACATACTGAACTGTTTCTTTTCTGCCAGTAATTTACAATCGCTGTTTTGAAAATTTCCGACACCAAAAACTTCTCTTGACCCATTGTCTCCACAAAACACTCTGATCTCAAACAGATTTAAGATGTACCGGTAACTTTATTGTAATATTGTATATTCACTTAGTAGCTTCAGATGAATGATTTCATACACTTTCATCCAGTGTAACTACCTTAAATCATCATTCTCATATATATATATATATATATTTTTTGTGTTGAGTGTTTGTACAATTCATGTCATTCACAACGATACAAACGGCAAGGAAAAGAGTTTGGAAGGCAATATACAGTAATTAGCAGATTTGCTAACAATTAGCTTACACAAACAAATGTAACATGACAAGTTAAAGCTAGATCAACTCCTTTCAATCACCACTTCTCCGGACAGCCTTGATTTCTTGAATACAATGCTGGCATGGAAACAGGATTTTAGACCATTTCTCTCTTCTCTCAGGCTTCCACGTGTACAATAAGATCACTGTTTGGGTATCCGAGTCCTGCCTGCTGATCAGCGTCGGCCTCATCGTTGGCGCCATCATGCACTCAGTTAACGAGGAACCCCCCGCCGTGCTGTCCAGCAATGTCTTTTTCCTCTACATGTTGCCGCCCATCGTCCTCGACTCGGGCTACTTTATGCCCACCAGGCCTTTCTTCGAAAACATCGGCACGGTGCGCGTCTGAACAGAAATACCCCTGAAGGTCTCACAGTTCCACCGAGGTTAATATTTCTGTGTGCGCGTAGGTGCTGTGGTTTGCAGTGGTCGGCACCCTGTGGAACAGCATCGGTATTGGCATGTCGCTTTTCGCCATATGCCAGATCGAGGCGTTCGGCGTGCAGGACATCAACCTACAGGAGAACCTGCTGTTTGCTGCCATCATTTCAGCCGTGGATCCCGTGGCCGTGCTGAGCGTCTTCGAAGACGTGTCGGTCAACGAGCAGCTCTACATTGTGGTGTTCGGAGAGTGTCTCTTTAACGATGCTGTCACCGTGGTGAGTTGTTGATGGTGTTTTCTCCCGTCGGTTAGTGAAAGAATGCTTGTTTTGGTGACATCAGAGAATGTGGGTTATGTACAAAAGTTTGCATCATTGTTTTTACCCATCACAAAAGGAACCCTGAGGGGAAGAATCGTTGGCAACAGTAAATTGAACTTTTATTCTTCGGTAAAATCTTTCCTGAGTATGTCGTAGGAGTACCGTCTTTGTTAATTTGTCTGTCCGAATGTTAGCTAGCAGGCTACTTCCTGGTTCATGGCTGACTGGAGTGTACCATTTGTGATTTCTAAGGTCAAGTGGAAGACTTCCAATGTGACCCAACAACAAAAGTACATTTCTCAGATCAAAAATAGTTAAAAAAAAAAAAAACGAAATATTGCGTTTGTTTGCTAGTTAGCAGGCTACTTCCTGGTTCATTGAAGGCTGATGTGTGAAGGCCGATGTGAGCATCACTTTAAATTCTGTTGTCGGTTCGACTCAACTGTCAAAATGCGAACATAAATTCCTTTCCCAAGACATTTGTCTGTTTGCTGGTTCAGGATAACATAAGATGACATGACCGTATCATTCTTGACTCCATTGTCCCTCAAGCGACAAATATTCAATTATACGGATGAAACTTTAATATGTCACTGTGGAGCAGTGCTTCTCAATTTGCTGTTACTATAAAGAAGAAAACATTTTTCCACTCTTCAACTCTCCACCACGACTATAAATAGTTCCATTTGTCTATAAAATTGTTATATGTGCACCTCTGTATATCCTTGTGTTCTTATTAAAATTAAACCTAACCAAAAAGAAAAAAGTCAAAAAAGACGTAAATGCATTCACGTTGTTTTCTAGTGTATAACAGAAAATATTTGAAGTGACAACGCCACCTACTGTCGTGCATATGCAATTACATTTTATTCACGTACGACCTAAAAAAACATTTTCCCTCCAGGTCACTCCACCCTCCATTTAAGCTCCAATTTGGCCCCTTTTTATTGTCAAAAGTGTGATGACATAAAAGCTAGACGTACTATTGTGTTTCTCTATTCTTTGTCCTAAAGCTTAGCTTAAGTTTCACGGCATTTCTATGGACCATTTTGGTTTGCCGTGTGTACCGGAATGTTTGGTACATCTCGAATTAAACAAGTTGACTAAGGGAAGTAACAGTCTTGGAAACACCGTTGACAAATGTTCCGCTTTGCTGTCTGGAGTTTATTTGCTCAGATGTCGCCAAACCAGTTTCTGAGGTCACTCTCGCAAATGTTATGGGAGGAGTTTTCACGCAAATCAATCCGAAACTGGACTGCTGAGACTTAAGTTCCCCCTCTCCCATCCCACAGTGCCCCCCCCCCCGCCCCTTCTTATTGTAGTCAAATACCGTCAACATTGAACCTGCTTTGGCGTGGCTACTCGTCTTCAATAGCTAAACGCTGTAGAAAGAAGCCACTTAGTGCCATTTTATAAGGTACACTTGCGCACTGTACTGTATGACTCAAAAATGGTTGGCCAAGTATACTTCACACCTGACCTTTAAAAAAAAAACAGGCAATGTTTTTTTTCTAAAATTGTAATGCCTTTCCAGCAGCTCCTATATTTTGTTGTTCTACTTCTTCCTTTCATAACTTTGCTGCTGTGTATTGGGAATTTCTCCATTGCGAGACTAATAGAGGTTTTCTTATCTTATCTTATCTTATCTTAGAAAGAAGCCACTTAGTGCCATTTTATTAGGTACACTTGCGCACTGTACTGTATGACTCAAAAAATGGTTGGCCAAGTTTACTTCACACCTGACCTTTAAAAGAAACAGGCAAGGTTTTTTTTTCTAAAATTGTAAAATAAATTCTATATTTTTTCCCAGTTTTTCAAAATGTTTTTTGAGACATCGAAAACAATTGAAAGACCCCTGTTGACTTATGCCAAAAGCATATCAGGTTAGCTGACCTGCATAAATGGGAGTACAGTAATTTGAACAGAATTGTATTTAATTGTGAGAAATGTGACATATGATTTCGCATTGATATACAGTGTAGCAATCAATAACCTATCAATATTTGATGTGATAAATGTTGACATTGCGACGTATGAGATAATATAATATGCCAATATCACTTCCATGGATAGAGCTGACTTTATTCCAATGTACCGATTATTGTGCAATTGCCATATCATGGTGTCATTGTTATTGTTGCCAAAATTTAATGGTCGCTTCATACCACGAGATACTCTGCGGTGATTCACCCGCATGTGTCGTTGCAGGTGTTGTACAACATGTTCAACTTTGTGGCGGAAATGCCAGTGGTGGAACCGGTGGACGTGTTCCTGGGCGTGGCCCGCTTCTTCGTGGTGGGCTTGGGCGGCATGGGCTTCGGCGTGCTGTTCGGCTTCGTGGCAGCCTTCACCACCAGGTTCACCTCCAAGGTGCGGGAGATCGAGCCGCTCTTCATCTTCATGTACAGCTACCTGGCCTACCTGGTGGCCGAGCTCTTTGCCATCTCGTCCATCATGGCGTGAGTAGACGTCGATGATCATCAACGTAGTCGTTCGCTTATGAATCGACAGTGGTGCGTGGGGCCAAGTTCACTTTGCTTGGTACCTACCGTATTTTCCGCACTAAAATGCGCACCTAAAAGCCTTCCATTTTCTTAGAAACTCACAGCGCGCCTTAAAATCCGATGCGCTTCGTGTATGGTCATTACGGTAATATTTCGACCCCAAAATGGCTCCTTGCTCGAGACATGCTGACAACGCAGAGTTTAACTTAAGGCGATCGGTTACGCGGTTGAACGCGGGAATAGAGCAGCGGCAAGAGAGTTCAGCGTTCACGAGTCAATGTGATAACTTGCTGTTGGTGAAGTGAACTGTGTCGCTGCTTTAGTCAATAAGTTTTACTGACATCTGATCGTTCTGTTGGCGTTTCCTTGAGCATAGCTCCATCTAGTGGACGCATTGTAGATTGCGTCTTATAATCGGTGCGCCCAATGAATGAAAAAAATTACAAAATGGCCCATTCACTGAAGGTGCGCCTCATAATTCAGCATCCTCATTTGTTTCTGTGACTTTTTAAAAAATGAAATAAGTGGAATCTAGATTGAATCTGGCACATCCAACGCAATTTCTCTGCCACATGCGGCTCATAATCAGGTTTGCTTGCTCATGCCTTACAATATCATTCCATATTTGCATTCACTTGTGTGAGGCTTTGTAATAGGTGCGTGTGTCTAACCAGCGTATAGTCCTCTGCCACCAGAATGAAGCCGTTGTTGTCAATGAGGTAGCATTTGATGTTCTGTTGAAATCAAGAAAAACACGTCACATTGAGGTTCAAGTTGATATGTAAGAAAGTGAGGATGGAACAAACCTCATCGTCACAACTTATGGGGCATTTCCCATCGAGGGGGGGGGGGGGGGGGGGGGGGGGGGGGGGGGACGAGAAGGCGTCGTGCAGAACATATCAGCCCCCAAACATCGGATATCGATACTGGGCTAATAGAAATGATCAATATTATACGCTTTTTTTTTTTTTTTTTTTGCATTGTTATATTCCTGATAGTGATGCAATAGCAAATACATCCTGGAGGTGATACAAAATATTCATATTGTAATAGGTTTCATGGTTAGATCTCAAGGCTCAGATATCGATAGTAGGGATGATGCAAAATATTGATATCATAGAAGGGGAGCATTGTTGTCTCTCAAGGTAGTTTGTAATATCAATCACCTCCACCAACCCTTCACCTCTCTCTTGCAGGTGTCTTGGTGCTGACTCAAATCATCAACCCCTTTCGCACCATCGCCTTCAACCTAAAGGATCAATTTGGTCTGGCCTACGGTGGCCTGCGAGGGGCAATTTCCTTCGCCTTGGCCTTCACATTGCCGGATAACATCGGACGGAAGCAACTCTTTGTCACCGCCACCATAGCCATCATCATCTTTACTGTCTTTCTGCAGGTATGGACAAACCCGTTCTTTTTTTTAAATTAATATTCAGGTACACATTGTCGAACCTCTTGATGGTCATCCAATATCGTTCCTTTACAAGCATGGCAATGCTTGCTTTTGGCTTTCACAGAAGTGTTCATTTAACATTTGCTCCATATGTCTTGTACGTTGTCCCTCTCATGTCACAAATGAAGTTAACCAAAAACGAGCTCTCAGCATGATGCAGTGCAGTTCAACACCATTGGTGCTTTATGGCTACAAATGATGGAAAAATAGACTTTTTAGTCCTGTATTGTTTTTAAAGAGTTGAGTGCAAAATATGAAATGAATTATACAACATTGTTGGAATCTCAGTTGCTTTGAGTGGTGTGAAACTCAGCAACGAAAAGTCAATTTCTTGTCTTTCGGTGTCTTATGATGATAATGACGACGTCGTTAGACGCGGGCGGGTTAAAGCAAGCTTTGTTTTTCTCTCCTTGTGCTTGCAGGGGATCAGCATCCGGCCTTTGATCGAGTACATTAACGTGCGCAGAACCAACCGCAATTTGGACACCATCAACGCTGAAATTCACTGCAGGGTAGGAGACGCATTACGGATGTGTGAGAGTTTTGGTGTCTGTGTTTGGATATTAACAAATCCTGCTTTGTGGTATCAGCTGATGGAACACACCATCGCTGGTATCGAGGACCTGTGCGGACAGTGGAGTCACTTCTACTGGAAGGACAAGTGAGACTTACTGACATACTCGAGTGAAACTTCTGCTTTTTTCCCTCTCTCAATGACGCCTGCCATTGTCTGCTGTAGCACAGTGCGCGATGTCTGGATGTGGTGTCATGTTCACATCACAGGCCAGACTGGTTTTTAATCTTCCCTTATCTTCCTCATTGTCGGTTGGCTCATTGAAACGCTTAACATTTTTACCAGGGGCCTGCAAACAAATCTTAAAGGGCCACAGATATTTTTTTTTTTGAGCTGGTCAAGCGTCCATTTATTAAGGTCGGTCAGGCACATAAACATTTTTTTTATTTTTATTTTTGATGAAAGGAGTACCGGTATATTACAATTGATAAGTTGAGTTGTATTTAACCTTTTATTTTTATTTTTGATGAAAGGAGTACCGGTATAGTACAATTGATAAGTTGAGTTTTATTTAACCTTTTAAAGAGAGTCCTTTTTAGTTTTTTTTTTTTTTTTCACCTGCAGGACAAAATTGTAGGTGGCAAGTCTAACATAAAATAAAGGACAACAATATAAATTCATAATTCATGCGAAATATCATGGCTGATTATCATGAATCATATGCAGTGCCTTTATTTCTTTTTTGTTCTCACTTTCTGTTTTTCTGTCTTTCTTTTCACCGTCAGGTTCATGAAGTTCAACACTCGCATCCTGCGTCGGATCCTGATCCGGGACAACCGTGCCGAGTCGAGCATCGTGGCGCTGTACAAGAAACTGGAGCTGCAGAACGCCATGGAGATCCTGGACACGGTGTCGGGAGACATCAGCGCTGCCCCATCCATCATCTCCCTGCAGTATGATGCCATCTTTTTTTTTTTTTTTTTTAACCTCCCTTCAGTGTGTTGTAATGGAGTGGTAAGATTCGCCCAAAAATGTTTCAGTGAGGAGAAGAAAGGTCCCGCTAAGCCTAAGAGGAAATTCCTGGCCGCTGACCTGAGGAACATGCATGACCTTCTGGCCAAGAACATGTACAAGATCAGACAAAGGGTGAGCTTTTTGTTTGCGTGTTTACTTACGAAGACATTAGGATACACCTATTCACAAAAATATGTTAAATCATAGTCAACACAGTGGTGAACATGTTTGTCTCACAGTTCTGAGGGGACTCAAATCTGACACTTACGCCTTATCAGATGACACTGCAATTTGGTTTCATAACTTTATCAACATCGAAGTTTTTTCACTGTCGTTTTTTTTTTTTTTTTCTTCACCACAATGCTGAGAATGTTTATGCTTAAAATGGTGCTAAGAAGCTCATTATTGTTGGCTCCTCCCATCAGACGACATCATACACCAGCAAGCATGCGCTGCCCAATGACAGCCGCACCAAAGAGATTCTCATCCGGCGCCACTCCAGCATCCGGCGCAGCCTCCGCCCAGGAAGCTTCCAAGCGGCAGTAAATTTTGACACACTCACAAGATGTGGTTGCGTCCTCTCTGTAAATAATCAATGCATCTTTTTTTTTTTTTTTTTTTTTTTTTAAAGTTGGTGCCAAAATCGCACAAGTACTTCTCACTTCCTGCTGGGAAGAACCTGGACTCGAATTTCCCACCTGTGAGGCAGAGCGACACTGGTACATTTTTTTTCCTTTTCACTTATTTAAGTGGAACAACATAGTCTAGCTCACAGGTGTCATACTCAAGGCCCGGGGGCCATATATGGCCCGGCACATCATTCTATGTGGCCCGCGAAAGCAAATCAAAGACGTCAACTTTCATGATGCTTGCTAAAATCTCTACCAAAATTTCAAACTCTCATTTGTAATAAATAAGAGTTATACACTAAGCATTTTCTTGTTACCAAACCCCCTCATTACAGTAACTTCAACAATCGGTGAATAAACCGTTATTCTTGACTTCTTTATATGGTTTCGGTCATAACGGCCCTCCAAGGGGAACTGTAACTAAAATATGGCCCGCGACAAAAATGAGTTTGACACCCGTAGTCGAGCTGTTGCTATTCTGGAAACCGCCGTTTTCATACTTTGCATGCGTTTATGGTATATACCAACGACTCAGTTTTCACATGTCCAAAACTGTACAAGTGACTCCTTCACTTCAAGCCACGACTTTTCATATTTAATGCAGGAGCATTTCATCCCAGGGAACTTCACTGTTCATTTAATTAAAAATGAATAAATAAACACATAAACAGAACACATTGAATTCTACCGGTTCATCTTATAAATTGTTGAATTGTATATCAGTTACATTTTTTTCATTATTACTGTTTCGCTTCCAGACGATCACGAAACCATGTCGGAGTTTTCGTTCCCCGCCAGACGCTCTCACTTGGCCCCGCCCTCACGCTCGTCATCCAGGGCAGCGCTTCCTCTGCGGCGGCTGGACACGTTGGAGGAAGTTCCGTCCGTGGACTTCCTGGACGAAAGGCGGCCCCGGAGGGGTCGAGCGAGACCACATTCTACGTCCGTGGAGCCTCGCCGCCACGTAGACCCATCAGAAAAAGAAAATGACAACAGAGGCGGCTCCACCGTGGCTCCTGCCTGGGCCGCGGAACCTCGAGACGAAACCGCTCGGAATCCTCTGCTCAGGAGGCCTCAATGGAAACCCAAAAAGTGAAGACATCACTACATGCAACATCGACACCGCATGGCCTTTTCGTATGTTTTTTTTTTTTTTTTTTTTTTTTTTATAAAACAAAAACATATGAAACTTAACTTGGAA